AACAGCCTCTGAAGGTACGACGGTAACACCACAGTCGTCGACTTCAGGAAGCAGTAAACCAACACCGTCTGGCTTTACCGAAGGTAGTTCGACCGGAAGTAGTCAAACAACACCGTCTAGCTCTACCGAAGGTAGTTCGACCGAAAGTAGTCAATCAACACCGTCTAGCTCTACCGAAGGTAGTTCGACCGAAAGTAGGGAGAAAACAACAGAGCAGACGACCGCAGAAACTGATCAAAAAACAGGTACTAGTTCTACCGAAGAGATTTCATCAGTATCTCCCGCCGATGTAGTGACAGAAGTTACAGAACAACCGGGAACAGGAAGTGGTGAACAGACAACTGGTCCAACTGGACAGACTGTAACCGAATCTACAGAAGGACCAAAGTCGGAAACAACCGAATGGACTGTTACTGGTCCAACGGGACAGACTGGAACTGAATCTACGGAAGGTCCAAACTATGAAACGACCGAATGGACTGTTACTGTTCCAACTGGACAGACTGGTACCGAGGCTACGGTAGGTCCAAACAATGAAACGACCGAATGGACTGTTACTGTTCCAACTGGACAGACTGGAACCGAGGCTACGGAAGGTCCAAACAATGAAACGACTGAATGGACTGTTACTGTTCCAACTGGACAGACTGGTACCGAGGCTACGGTAGGTCCAAACAATGAAACGACCGAATGGACTGTTACTGTTCCAACTGGACGGACTGGTACCGAGGCTACGGTAGGTCCAAACAATGAAACGACCGAATGGACTGTTACTGTTCCAACTGGACGGACTGGTACCGAGGCTACGGAAGGTCCAAACAATGAAACGACTGAATGGACTGTTACTGGTCCAACGGGACAGACTGGAACGGAATCTACGGAAGGGCCAAATAAGGGAACGACAGAACCTAGTGATGATGATTGTGATGATTCCACTGAGGAATCTAACACAGATACCGTTGATGACGATTGCAATCCGTGTAATGATGAATCTGACACCGAAATGAGTTGAAGGTTAGCGTGGAAATGTTGTAATTAGTATATATATATATGATGTAGTAGGGGGCCTTATTATTTGTACTATACATGCGTAGCCGTTGTACACGTCAACGCCGTTTTTTTATACTACGTACACTAAAGTTAACAAAAAGTTGGATGCAAGAGTTTTAGTTGATTCGTATGTATAGCGAAAGTTCCCTTGTGGTTGATCATTTTCACGGTTCCTATTGTTTTTTTTATCTATGAATAAAGTATAGTTTTGTTTAATGTATTTAATTTTGTTATATAATTTCACGTGTATTGCATTAACTCGTTACAACCTACAATGAAAGATTATCTATGACGTAATAGCTCGTTTAGAAATCTTACAGGTTGAGGTCAATGATATTTATTAATCCGATGCAGGATTATTTTCGCTAATTATATTACAACTCCTAACTGTGATCGATGTTATCTTGTGTTGTTATTTGCAACTGTTGATTGCCTACATTACATAGCTCCCACTTGCACAGCTGCCTATAACTACAGAAGCACGTTGAATGGGATCTTGTGGTAAAAATAAATCAATCGACCATAGTTACGATTCGACACTGTTAACGATTTATATTTTCCTTTAAATTCCACGTTGTCATTTTTCTAATCAACTGGTGTTGCTACTAAATGTGGTAGTCTCTACTTACAGACGATATTTGACGAAGAAATGGAAGTAAATCACTTGCATCACTCAGTGCCACATTAAGACTTCAGACGTGATCGTTGTGCAGACATCTGTGGATAAAATAACAATAATTTTTTCTTTTGAAAAGTAACGAATTGTGCGAAATCATAAAAGAAATTCATCGCGTCCAAATTTATTAAGCCTTATAGTTAGGAACAGTCTAGTAGGTTTACATTGTTCATTTGATTAAACTATAAAATTGGTAGAGTACTCTTTTAAATGGTTTTTCCTGGTATCGGTTTAATGTTCTTGACACTTTTAAAGAAACAATGTCAGGAAATATCGCGCATATCTACATGCAAGTAACGAAACCGCAAATCCGCAAAACCACAAGATACGCGAGAAACGCTGCTGCTTCTCAGGCAGAAATAAAACAACGAATCGTTTGTTTCTCCAAGTTTGTACAACTCTACTGCCATACGATCCATATGTGAGTAATTCTAGGGAGAACGTAGCATATTTTCTAATATCACTTAAACGAAGAAAGCATAGAAAAAGCTGCATGCGATTAATTTAGTGACTCATTGTATTTGGATTTACGCAGCTAGCTTGTAATATAACCGAAATTGTATCGATCTAGCTATCGCGAAAAGAGAGAGCATTTTATTTTCCAATGTCGAAATCCGGGACAGCGCGTACGCTGGTCCCGACTACCAAAAATTTTGCGCTCGATATACCCACGAACGGAGTATTCGCAAGGTTCAGCCCTACCGCAGTGCAATGGAAGGGCCTCCCCCAGAAGGAACCGCCTTCGTGATCACGGTGTCCTCCGCGCCAAGTAAGTTATACAATAATACCTTGCCCGATAAACTTTATGACCTACACCGCTGATTTCCTCTTGCGAGAAATTTTCTGGACAACGAATGTCATCTAGTGGACAAGAACCGATCGTAACCGAAATGATGGACACATGCGAATCTCTGTTCAATCTGTTCAATGTTTTTTTTTTTCGGTTAGGAAGCATAGTCTGTGTTTCTAGTATTCACAGATTGACGATTATACTCCGTTCCGTCAGACAAAACACTGGGGTTAAACCAAACCACGTGACCGTGACAGGACTGAATCAACAGGGGACTGTGCCTTAAAAAGGTTTAGAGATACAGGTGATTTTTCTAACTTAGTGGATAGGTGATTTTATATAAGGCATTCGTAAGTAGATTCTTGAACTGTAATTTATAAATATAAAATTAGCGACGGTGCGACAGGAGGAGAACGAAGAAAGAGAAAAATACGGTGCACGCTCGATGCATCGCAAATATTTATGGGTCCAGCAGCTTTTTATATGTATAGAGTCGAGTGCTTACGTGTGTATACCTACTATGATACAAAGCTGCCAAGGACACGTAGCGTACAAGGTTTAGTATTTAAAAAAGAACCGCCGACGACCTCCGATCAATGTAGCTACCTTGACTGGGTGCTTTCACGTCCAACTCACCTTTGAGAGAAACTAATGGTACAACAATTATTTGAAAGATAAGCTGGAAATATTCAAAACGAAAACCAAAACATTCCAACATTGACAACAAACATTAATTTTTGTTTAAACATTCGGTACTTTAATTCGATTATGTGTAAATTAAAGATTCTAGATTTGGTTACATTAAAATTTTCATTCATATTTCCGATAGATTCTGACAAGTTCCGATATGTATTCTTTTTTGTCGAGGGTTTCGACACTTATAAACTCCGAAATCGTCGAATTTAAATTTGATTGTTCAGAAATGGAGCACGGTACGTATCGTGGCTCGAATTTTCGTTTATGCGGTGAGGTAGAATCTGTTGACGAAGAATTTGCGTAATAGCTCGTTGAAGCCAAGGAGGTCACTACTTTGCAGAGTTTTTATGCGATTCATCTACTTTTTTTGACGCAACAAAACAGACTAATAGACTATGATTAATCCAGAAATATAATACGTATATTCTAACTTGAGGATAAAACATAGTGGACAAAGTTGTACCAAGTCCAATTAATTTCAGCATTTGATGAGCGAATAAAATTTAGCTTTGTCAGAAGGCACGTTAGCGTCAAGCTCACGTGAAAGTTAACGTCTGTTGTTGGTTGGAGATTGCTTAGAAGCGAGAGGACGACAGACCAGACCGTCACCCACGTAGCTCGGTTTTCGTCACGCTCTTACGGCTACGCGGCAATGCGAGAACGCGTTTCGTAACGTAAACACGTAGCCAGGCGGTTATACACCGTATCCGGAGCGATGCTCCTTGGAGAAGCCCGTTAGTTTGTCAATTTGAGCAGCCACGACTATCCTATACAGCGTCAAAACCGACGAGGACGAAGCCATTGAAATTTACGGCATGCAATGATCGATCCTTGGACGAACGTATTACGTTACCTTTGGTCGGTGTCTTTCTTTCTCGCGCGATACACGCGCTATCGAAAAGAGGCTAGAACAGCTCGTCGAAACGAAAGACCAACGTTCGCTTAACAAGAAATCATGTAAATTGCTAAATTTGTCAAATTTTCATTAAAGTGTGTTTCATTAAAAGGTTAATCGTTAGAGCTAGAGAGTTGAGATTCGCGAGGCTTTGACATCGGAGAGCCTGACTCGTTGATACCGCAGTCGCCTGCATTGCAGTTTACCACGAACAACCGGGGATTCGTGTGACACAGTAACGGAAGAAATACGGTGGTATAATAAATGTCACGTGTACGCTAAGGACAGAGTAGCGAGCAACGTGCTTCTGAAATTATCGTGCAAACACACTCGAATGCACCTACTGCGACAATGCCGCTTCCTTCTTTACTATGAACGTAAACGTAGCCAATATGCAAAAAGCACGTGTCACCGATACTTTCGAGTCCGCACAAATTAATTGTAGAAAATTAGAGAGAGGAAAGGAGGAAACGTGTCCTACGCGTATAAGCATATTGTTTGGATATTTATACAATACAGAGTGTATCGCGAACTTGATAAAAAAGTTCTGCCTCGATATGGAAATTCTCTGGTCGACGAGGAGAGGAACGAATAGATCTATAATCAGAGATGAGAAATATCTTATCTAGATTAATAAATTGCTGTGCGTTGTTTGTATTTGTAATCTATTATTCGATAAAATGTTGCCCATCTTTGTCTGTGACTGTACTACAAGGAAGGGGAGTGTCGAAAGAAATGCGACTTTAAGAATTCGAGGATGGGCTCCAGCGAACCGTAGATCATCGTCGTATTGTTATCAAAAAGCAGTTATTACTATAAAAGTAACAAGTATCGCAAAGATAAGCGAAACAAATAGGCAAGCATAATTTATTCATTCGTAAACGTATCTGTAGAGTGGACGATCGCTGCATTATGCAGATCTATAGCGATTCGAGTTTACGCGGAGTTTAGCGTTGCTTTTCTTTTGAAAGCAAAATATTCTCGCGGCATTCGCTCGCTCGATGAAGAATTAACGAACTCCCCGATAACGATCACGCTGGGTATGTTCGAACAAATTGAGCAGATACCTCCGACAGACTAGTAGGCACGAATGTAAGCGCGTATGCCACGTGGCAACCGGGTCAATTGTATGCCATAACGAAGCAAACGCTCGTTATCCTTGGGACAATTCGATTATTGTCCTAGGAAACCCCTTGAAAAGCACGGAACGTGCGTCTGACGCTTTAGGGATGAATTTTTCAAAGAACGTAAAGCGTTGGAGCTTTCAATAAAAAATCGTCTCGCAGTTAACGTCTTTCGATATCAACGTCAACGATAACGACGGATATCGTCCTTCCTCGCTACCATCTTCGGTCAGGTTCCAAGAGCCTTTCTTTCGTAATTATCTATTGCCAGTTCCTTTCCTTTACCACGACCACTCGCGAATTAATATATACACCTTTCCTTTTTGCGTAGGAGTCCGCGTCGCTCGATTCACCCATAACTTCTGGCAATGTCGACAAAACTTAACATCCAATTTTAATTTGACCTTTAGATGATAATGTATCGTAGTTACTTTGATTTCCACCGCTCTATAACCTCCCTATCGGTTGTATCGAAATGAATGCGTATTAAACAAATCGCTCGATTACGACAAACTGGCCGCGTACTGGTGCGAAGCGATATCTACGCTCGGTCCGATATTGATCATTTATAGAATTTGATCCCGCAGAAAAGATGCGCGCAAGAAGGACGAACGGATGACTGTCCAGGGAGGGCGCGTTCACACCGGAATCGATAACCGCGAGAAGCAGCCGCAGGAGGGGGCGGTCTACGAACAGGGATGCACAATATTTGGCCCGTGGGCCCACAAATTTTGACGAAATTTCTATTGGAACAATAGATGACAAATGAAAATTACTTGTACAGTGATTTCAGTCTTTGTTCCGGAGAACAAGTATTCTACGATTAATCCGGAATGTAGTTCCATTCACAACATTGAAATTGTAGTCGCTATCAAACGAATAGCGTGTCGAAACTTGTTTATCTTCTATCCGTTATTCGAAAAATTTATCTAGATAAAAAGATTGGCCATCTTTGGCTGGGCCACATGCGGGGCCTGTTGAACGGTATATACTATACAGCATAGTTTTCAGTGTTATTAAAAACAAATCTTGCACGACTAAAGTTGTGTCCCGCAACGCCTTGGAAAAGAGCACGTACAATCTTACGTGTTTAATCACTCGCGCCTTTTTTCTCTATTCAATTAATTCTTTAAGGAATATCACATTTTCGGCGTGTCACTTACGTTTTTGCGAATTGTAATACGATAACGTAGCTTTTAGCGTAAACCGTAAACCGTAAACGATAAAGACAAGAAAAATATATTCGAAACCCAAACACAGAAGCACTCTATCGAATTTAAAACTATATTTGTAAATGTAAACAATGGTGCAGAAGACTTTCGTTTCGGTTAGCCGAAGAATACTTGGAAGCTCGAGTCGAGACAAAGTTGTGGTGCAAAAGATTAAGTTGTGCACCTCTGACTCTAGGATGATTACGATATCCAAGGTTTGGTACGGGTCGCGCGATGAAAACGAGTCAATCCACGGTTTATCGATTGGACGCGATCGAACGTGTCGAGCCTCAATTCGCGTGACGAATACTCGACGAGACACTGGCCGAATGGAAGAATCACTGACACTGTCAACTGTTTTCGGCTCACCTGTTTGCACCGCCGGCGAATCTGGTTCCTGTAGCAGCCGATTACGAAACTCACGCGGCACTTGTAGACATGACCATCGATTGTGTCAAATCTTGATTACGACATACGGCGAGGAGGGTTAGCAGACGACGAGATACAGAGAAAAAACGCGCGAATGGCGAAGGGCAGAGGGTAAGAGAGACAGAGAGCGTATGAGCGTGGGAGAGAGAGACACGGGAACGTTCGAAAAGATAAGAGATAGCCGCGCGATCGGTGGAACAGTACTGAGGCGAAAATCCGCGAAGACGGTTGGCGGGTGATTTGCTGGGGCCGCGACGAAGCCGAGGAGAGCACACGGCACGCGCACCTCACTGTCACAGCGGCATTTTCACTGAGGAAACGGTGGCCGGGAACCGAGAGACTCGCGGAAACCAGCGAAAACCCCCCCAAACGGATCGCGTTTTTGTAAACGCTCCACTCTGACTATCCGCGTATCGAGAGCGGACCGTGCCACCACCGCGCATGAGTATCGCAACCTAACACGCACGCGTCACCGTTCGCTGCCGTTCTTCTTATCAGTGCACCGCTCTATTGCCACTGGGAAACGAGGGAGCAGCGCGCTGACGATACCATGGACATATTACAAACACAAACGCGAACACCCTCTCCTCTACAATCGCTCTCTATACGCCCTACGATCGCACCGCGCGGCGCGCGCGCCTACAAAAGGGCGAGAAAAGAGACGCCTGCGCGATCACACTCGGAACCAATGATTTCCTCTCGATGAAATCGGGACCAAAGAACAAAGATAATACGACGTAGATATTTTTCTCACTTGTTATGCTTCGACGAAGGTACGTTATCGTTATTGTCATTGTCCAACGAGCGACAGCGTTGCCGGTGTTGTAAATATTTTTATATTCACATGTGCGCGTATTATTTCAGGCTACAACGTTATATAATATAAATTCTATCAAAAATATTCAAATCTTGTTCATTCGAATGAATAGCTTTCGGTATAAGTTTTTGTTATTCGGTCAATTTATCAACACAAAAATGGTATCGCTACGCTACACACTGCTCCACGGTTCGCCCCCAAAAAATGCATCACTTAGTAGTGCAAAATGGGAATACATATTCCATGCACTTTAAACTCGAGAACTCGAATTCGAAAATGGTATCGTCATCTAGCAGTGAAAAGATGGGACTAAAATTATCGACGTTGTCACATTTCTATGTTCTTACAAATGATTTTTTTTTTTAATTATATACAATGACAAATAAGTAAACGAACAACGCGATGTTAAAATTTGAATGAAAATCATTTATAACCCTCGAGTTCATTACTTTTTTTTTATTAAAATATACAAACAGCGCCATCTAGCGTTCAGAAAAAGAAACTATTCGAGGACAAAATTGAGCGTTTTTCCACCGATGCATAGCACGACTGTCATTCAATTGCGGCCATTTTCATTATTTGCATATTTTTCTTCTACTAATGAATTTTGTTTGTTTTATGATTACAAGTTTATTATTAAACGTAATAAAATAGATTATATAAATATCAATTGTTATCAATTTTTATTTTCATTTTTAATCATTTTTCTGCCACTTTAAAATTAGATTCATTGTACACGACTATACTGTATGATAATTCTTCTTGCTTCTGATAATTTACGACGGATCTGGGATAGGAATTTGAGGTGTTCGACCTTCCAGCATTTCGTGGAGAAGAATACCGATTTCCTAAAAGCAGATTTATTTATTTTAGAAAGCACTACTTTAGATAATATTTGTGGATAAGGGATGTAAACGTTTAGAAATATGTACGACTCTTTTAACTTTTAATCTATTCCATAGAATAAGGAAATGGTAAATTAGTAAAATCGTATAAGACTTCGTAGGTAGTCATTTTTGCTTAAGACTTGACGACGACCTCGATAACTCGATACTTGGATCAGTGATTCGATAAATTTTGATGCGAATCTCAGATCTACATATAAAGTCTGAACGACCGACCTCTTTTTTCCTTGGAAAATATAAATAGAGCAACGTACTTCTTCCCTCTGAGCGCGTAATCTGTCGATGATTGGCTCGTTAAAGTTGGGATCGTTGCTAGGATCCTCCAAGGTAATATCGTTGCTCTTCGACATTTGCGGTATTCGAGTAATATAAATCTGTTTGATCGTATCTAAAATTGCTGAAGGTCTCGTCCGAGGAAGTTGTAAATCGATTGATGAGAACGAATCTGCTCCAGCCGGTACCGCTAATGGTTTTTCGTAATCTGTGCATTTTGCGTCGCTGAGGTTTTCCAAAAACAGAGAGAGTACAAGTACTTGAACAAAATAACGTTTTCGTTCAATGTTTTTAATTTTTCAGCCAAACGTTTAGTAAAAGCTCACGAGAATTGAGTGCCGAATCCGTCATGCGATAGTAAGTCTTTAGTTTTTCGTACGAGAGTCTTGTCCTTTGACGAATGATAATAAAGACTTGCTCCCAAGATGTGAGCTACAGCTCTTAAAGTTTTTCCAATTAATTCTCTCTTATCCAGGCTTAAATCCTACCGCAGAAACACGAAAGAAGTTATCTCCTTTCTTGTTTTCTATCGATAAAGAGTGATTTTACCGGATAAATCATGACGATACCTTAAATTGGTCATATTTTCCCCCCACAATGCGAAGTCTCAGCGGGAACGGATCAACTTCGCTTTCTAGAGCTTTTCTTCGTTCTTTAATTCGTCGCTGTTTAAGTTCTTGAATCGTTTTATCGTCATAACTCATTTTCATAGCATTACGAATCACCGAAAGAGTTTCTTCGAACGACGACCATAAAATCTCCGGTTGCGATAAATCGAGCATCATTAATACTGTGACGTGATGAGGAGAATGAGTCACAGATGAACCTATCATTGCAGCTGATATTAGCGATGAAGTTAAATGTCCTATGTCCCATACGTGCGCGATATTTTTCACCTATCGTGGTGAAATAATAAACGATGTTACTTCTATCACGTTAACAAAATAATTACGTTTTAAGCAGAATTACTCTAACAAGCGAAACGTACTAAGCTCTTCCCGGCTTTACGTCCAAAAGAGTAATCCATCGCAATAGTTGGCTTTGGCGTTTCATCTTTCTCGAGAAATCGAAATATCATCGTCGTTTTACCCTGGAAATTCATGTTTTTCTTTCACGCATACCAATTAAATAATTAATAAGAATGTTTAAATAAAGATATTAAAAAATGTATTTAACGCATCTGGTTATTCTATTACGTTTATACGTACAACGTCCTTTCTGCCAACGATAATGACAGACCGTTCACGTGTTTCGTTAGGGTCGTTTTTACGTTGTTCTTCTTCTTCCAAACAAAGACGTAATGCTACATCTCTTACGTTTTCTTCTCTAGAACATAATTAGATCAATATGCACCTGTGATCTGCATTATATGCAAATTCCAAGACGTTATAACTTTTAGATTTATATAATATCGATACTTTTCTGTTACAATCAAACTTCAAGTATTACACATTGAATTTTATTGATCAAGAGTGAAAATGGATACGTACAAATTTTGTTTTGCCATTGATTTTGACCCAATTATTCCGAGTACATACAAACTGCACAATAATAACGTGTTTTCTTTTACGTACAGGTTATGTTTTTGTGGTTGTTGCTATAGCAATACGAAAATCTTATTCGTATAGTTAGTACGTACTAGTGTAGTCTTCCTTCTCAAGATCTCATTAAATTTACAGCAATCAAATATAGGTGTATTAAAGTAACGAATATCGATACTTACCTTCGTTTAGTTAATCTATATTAAACATAACAGAAATAAATACAAGAGATAATATAGTTTCATATAGTATTGTTATTAATCTTTATGTAATTTTTATAATACATTATCTAGTGAAGCAATGAGGTATGTTACATCTAAATTGTTATACTCCTATAAATCTCTAGATGATCGCCGAACACGTGATGTGATTCAACAAGACACTGTCAGTCTTGTTAAAGAAATTCACAATGGCATTGTTTATCATAATTAATCACATACACTTTCACGCAATTTCAATTCATAAAGTTTAAGATGCGTCGATACGTTTCTGCTGCTGGGGTCGTAACGCATGGTACTTTTTATCAACAATTTTTTTACGAATAATAGTACAACCGATTATTGTAAAATCTTCGTTTACCGACTAATTGGACTAGACGAAGACGATAATGGAATGCATTGCATAATTAACAGTTTATATCAAATTATAAATATCATAAAAATGATCGCAACTCAAGAGGTTATACAGACGCGTCATATTGCAATGTGATGTAAAATAGTAATAACCAATCTTTCTTTCACTAAATTCACTAATTTCACAAAATTCACTAAATTATTTATGAAAATTATTCATTATAGTCAATCCAATTCAAGCAATCAACACAATAGTAAAAGCAGTCATATCGCACTTTTAACGCCTCACACACGTTCGAGATTTTTGTATATTTTAAATCATCGAGTGAGTGTAGACATTTCAGATGATGTATCTTTGATTATTTCGAAAAGAATTCTAATTTTAAAAAGTAGGAGACACGCATATAACACGCGAATACCTATACGAAAAAACTAAGCTTTGGTCCTTCTACTGTATGCCTATTTTTGCATACATTATCCTAAACTGATGAGTAACATTTCATAGGTTATTATGATAAAAAATCTCACATGCCTAGTTATATTTGATTACAAATATGGGAACGGAAGAAAATGACTCTATATTTCGTATAAACGTATGCAAGATTATTTGGGAGATGTAAAATATGTGTGATCAATTTCAATGATTAAATTAACTTGTAATTTATATTTAAGTATGGCCAACAACCTAATACAAATAATATCATATGTTTTAAATAAAACTGCTTTTTTTTTTACACATATTTTCCTGAATATCGCACAGAGCATTTTATAAAAATGCTATTTCAGAATTTTGTATTACATTACTATTATTAATCTGACTTTGCATTTCATACAACCTTACGAATAATGTAAGTATAAATATTTATATATTGAATATTCGAATACAAGCCACTTTTTAAAAATCCATCAAAATGTTAGTCACCGATACGCAATGCCTGTGAAGGAAGACGATAATAAAGATTAGTCACCTTTTTCTGCAATACTTCATCGCTTCAATTATGCAATATATCACACGCTCTGCATGTTATCTCGTCCATATATCACTCATCCAATTGTCATCTAATTCATTAGTTGGTAGCACTTTTAATTTTCGTAATGCTTCGAGATAAAACGTAAGTTCGGACGTAACGACGCCATGTTGTGGACCACCATTATTCACTATATTCATTTTAACTAACTGTTCTCTAAGTTTTTCTTTAAAAGATGTATTTACTGTACGATACAAGGTTTGTACTTCTACTGCAGGGAGAATTCCAGAAACTGCTTCGTGCAGCTTAATTAAATAGCTGTAATTAGTTGTTCATTTTAATCGTAAATGATAAAGCGATGGTTGATGTAAGACAAACGATCTTTTGAATACTAACCTAGAAATGTTTCTAAATGATTTCGACGGTACCGGTGGTCTTGCAACCCAGGTTGATATTTGACCACCCAGCAGATTGTCAACGATAGTGAGAATTTTGCTTTCAATTTCTTTCACGTGTGCGCGAATGTCCCTTTCGACGCTGTCCAATAACGCAACACCACCTGTTACGTTAGATGAACCATATCCACGACTAGGATTTTGCTCTGCAAGCGCTGTAAACGAATCGCATTAGTGTCAAAATATTAGTAATAATCAAATATTACGCAAACATACTTACTTTGGAAGTGTAACTTTACAAAAGGCATAAGCCATAAAATTAATTTTAAACTACGCGCAGCTAGTACAAGTATTGTACTGGTAATAGTTTTTAGACCCGCAACTTGCATTGCGCCTGCGCCAAGTACAAGTTGACAACAACGAGAATTATAATGCCTTAATAATTCAGCTAAATGTCTTCCAATAGTTCCAGATAGAGCGATCAATTCACTACCAGTTCTAAAATTATAATTATGTTTAGCACCGAATCACGTTACTGTATGTTGCTCAAACTCTAGCGTTACCTGCAATATTCGTGAATCATTTGCATAAGCATTAAAGCTGCACCAACAACGGCATACTTTTCCTCTCCGACCATAATAAAGTTTTGAATATCATTTTCTTTTACTCTATCTTCAGCCTTAAATAAATTCGGTGGAAAACATTTATTTTCATACACGTATGTTACTAGCGACTGAAATTCTGGTGGCACGTCAGCCTGCTTCCATCTTTCAGATTCCAATAAAAGAGTGAGCTTTGTTTTAAGCTCGGTATGAAATCTTTGAATGAATTTACTGGCTTGTGCCTGTAACATAATAAAATATGAAGTAAAGATTACTCATTAAGTGATATAAATGAAAAAAGAGAGATACCTTGAATGCCGATCGCAACGCTGTACATTGTTTGCCACAGAGCTTCTCGCAAGTATCCGTAAATCCTTCAACCAAATTGGCTAGTTGACATACTTGAGCTGTTGTTGCTCTTTTACTTAACCAAGAAAATTTGTCGTTCCAATTCTGAGAGTCTTTCTCCTCTTGTTTATTACCTGCATTTTCACTATTTGTTTTTTCTTTGTCGTTTTGTAATTTATCTTTTTCGTTTGCACCTGCAGAAAGCAGATTTCCCATTCGCTCATGACAATAATCACAAATGGACGTTAACATATCGTTAAGTTTGGTTGTTACTCGCGAATGTTCAATTCGGGTTAATAACCGATCTGGTATCGAATCGTTAAAGGAACCGTCGCATACTCGACCAGCTGCAAGGTCTACGGTATCTCGCATAACATCGTGAACAGCCTAAAAGTATGCATTTATAGAAAATGACTGAAAACTATAACCTTATAGTTAGCAGTACAGTGTAATACATACTTTTACTCGCATGAGAAGGAATGTCAAAGATTGTATAGTATTATGAAGTAAGGTTAACCTCTCAGCGAGGGAAAGTCCGCCAACTTCAAGAGCAGCTGCCTGTTGATCACTGCAACAATCACTTGCTGCTAAAGCTTCGATGACTCTTTGTTTAGTTATAGCACGGACAGTTGTCACAGCTTCCTCTTTGTAGGTATCCACAAATTGAAAATGTTTTTGCCGCAAAAGACCAGAAATGATGGAAACAAGTTTATCCTGTTCGTTGAGGATGTACAAATGATCTCACTGGGAAGAGATGGACGACGTTTTGTTTGCTACGACCTAAGTATATATTTCCAAAAGATATGTATGTACTTACACCATCCAGAACAATGTTTTCACCACCTAACGGTCTATTTAGATCTGCCGTTGCATATCTTTGGAACTCTGTGGACAACATTTTGTCCACGAGTTTCTCCATTTCCGTTAACTGAGAACTCAGATGTCTGAAACTATGTATTCCATTTAATTCTTGTAAAAGTATTTCTTGCGTTGTAGAAATAAGATCTAGCGCAGCAACATAATCTGGCGTCGATAACAGTAACTGTATCATTGGTTGACTCTGATGTACCGTAGCCATAAGCTTTAATTTTTCTTGTACTAATAGCCGATTAGATCTTGCTTGTTGTAATCTAAAAACAAACAGTCCGGTTAAAACATATGTCGGATATGTTAAACAGAAAATAACAGAATTTATTTACCGTAAAATTTCTAAAGAATCATTGACTAGATGTTTATCAACTTGGTGTATATTTTTCCTAAGAGCTTTTAGAACCGTAATAGTTTGTGTAAGTTGCTCCATTAGGGCATCGTGAGAAGTCATGGCATGAAAAAATGCTTGAGATTTTGAAGCAACTTGTTCTGCTATTCTAACTTCCACAACATCTAAATAATGACTTAGCTATTACAAAAATAAATTCAGCGTGTATTATTTATCTGAACTTTCGAAGTTAATAAAACGCACTTAATAATTAGTATACCTTTTCTTGCATTTGCTTGACATGAATAACAATATTAGATTCCTCGTTTAACAATCCACCTTTTGTAAACGGAAATACGACGTAAAAGTTATCTTTCTGAGAAAGATCCAAATTGGGTGTTAAAAAAATTTTTGGAACATTAGCTAAATCAAATTGCATTCGATCTGTAAATATTGTTTATGTAAGTTTAGTATAGTACAATAAAATCGACATCATCTGACATTTAGTTGTATGAAAATTATACGTACCTAACGACTTAACTTTTCTTAAATTTGGGAAATTTTGTAACAATTCGTTAGGCGTAGTTGGTCTATTGGCATTTGAATTCATACGAGAATGTTTTCGATATCTCTGTAAGTAAATACTTTATTAAGATACTTCTTTTCTCTAACACATTTGCTGCTTTACGAATAAGCGAGATAATTAAATGTATTAATTACCCTTGCAATCTTTTTTAAGTATGACTCAAAGTGTTGCATTGTAACTTCAGGAAGGTAAGGACTCTTAGGAATATCGACTTTCTCTACAAATCCATCGCCCCAAGTACGAGTTAAGAAGTTACTCTGTTTCCCTTTAAATGGATCATTTAAAACAGCTGGTAAATTTTGAGCAGCCGAGTATACAGTCCACGATGAAGCGGACTCGGATACTTGACCATTGCTTTTACGTTGCTGCTGCATTGCTGCGTGCTTGGTAGCATGTGCTACATAATCTTTATCGGAAACACCCTCCACAGGAAGACTAGTGCATACTCCATTATAACCATAAAGGCAAACAAACGATCCTCCTTCTCTGGAGCAATGTTGATCTCTCAAATGTCTGAAATAAAAATACGTACGGTCAAAGTATAAGATTGTTCTATCATGTTCTTCTAGTTACTAATGTATCCTACAAGAATGATCTAGTATGCATTTGTCAAGTCTAATTTTTGAAGAAGATCCAGACCTGAGGTCGAAATGTTTGTCATTATATAGTTGTTCGTTTGAAAGAAATACCAGTAAACGTACATGTATACGTCGATGATCTTGAATAATTTGATTCGTAATATACACGACGTTGGGAAATCGGTGGAAAAAGATATGATATCATGGGATATTTGTCATTTAAAATAGACATTAGACAGATGTACCTACCTTATAAAATCTTCTATTTGTTTGAACGTAAGGTTAGCGCAGTATTCGCAAATTAGTATCGTAACTAAGGATTCGGATCCTTTCACGATCTTCGCCATTTTCCATTTGCAGCTTTACTTCGCCATTCTAACGCTACTTGATTTAATTTATAGTTCATCGAAGTCTATCGAAGATAACTTACGCACACGACGACTACTTAACTATTTCACTTATCGGTTATCGTCCAGTGTCAAGCATACGTTTCATGATGGGATCCACGCTGGCCAACAAAGAAATATATCGTCGTGATAAGCCATGGTTTTGGTATAAAAAAGTTCCCAGATATAGTTGCAAATTGTTTCACTTTTATGTATAATAGAACCGATAAATATATTTGATTTATTTAAGTAATGGTTATTGCGTTCGTTACGATCGTTTAATTAATTAAAGAAATACATACAATGAACAGAAGAAAAAAGTTTTCGCACAAAAATGTTATAAAAATGATGTATTTATAGTATAATACCCGTCAGAGAAGATATTCTTGTAACTCTATTTTTTCTACAAAATCACCAAATTTTTGGTTTTTGTTTTTTTAAATGACAACAAAATCTTCAAAAACTGTACATATTTTTCGAATGTTTGTTAGTTTGCCTATTTTCTCTTTAGTTTATAATGTAAAATGTAAGTTGTAAGAAAACATCTGTTCTCGAGTGATGTAATTTATACGTATATGTTGCAACTATGAAGAAATATTCAATATAAATCAATAACGTTTCTTTCGTACAAATACTTGCTTATTAATAAAAATTTTTATCATTGACATATGATCTCTTAATTTCGATTAAGGATATTCATTGTATCTGAATATTTCTATGCTCTATAAATTACGAAAAGATGTTTGTACAAGTTGGAAACAGTTTCTTCGTCATCATTCTTTTTTATTGATAGTTGTAAAGTTCCACTTTGGCCGGTTTCATAAACATTATAACACAGCATGACGCATACGCATACTTCGTCGGAGTCGCTCGGTGTACACGTGTTTGTTTGTGTAAAAAAAAAAAAAAAACGTAGTTTCATTTGCGTCTTTCTTTGTACACAATTAGCGTTAAAAAATAGGTTTACGTGTATATAAAGTCGTTCAATAAACTTCGTATAAAATTGCATCACAAAAACAGGGAATAGAAACGTGGCTTGTATAAAAAAGTAAAACGTATTTCGCATAAGAAAATTCAGGTAAATACGAATCCGAAAATATTATCTTGTCTATGATGCGTATGAGATACGGTTTTGGTATTGAGAAATAAAGCGTTTGCATACATTGCTTTTAATCGACGTTAAGCAAGGCAATGTTTGTCGATTATTCTACAAGACACTTTTACCGTCGTCTTGTGTCTGTAATCTTAAAATTTCTTGTCTTCCGTTGCTCACAACACGAGGAAACCACAGTTACACTTAAAGAGGAATGTAGCAAAGTCGAGTAGGTGTTTATAGACTGTTTCACGATCGTCAGTTGAACGTATTAAATTCTTGGTGTTTAGTAAAAATATTGAAATTGAGACTACACAAAGATATGTTGTTCGAGGCGAATGGATCCAACTGTACTAACATTTTCTTTCAATGTAACCGCAACTTAATCACTTTGAACGCTCGATCGTTCTTTCGTTCTACATACTTACTGTTCGACCAACTGATCGTACATTATCGTTTCAATGTAGTTACGCCAGGTCTATAACTTTTCCATCGTCAATTCTGTTGATCTGCATTGCTGGAGTCGTTATTCCTTGGCAGAGGCGGTGGCGCGGGTATAATATCGTTGTTTAACATGTTTTCACGATTCGGCTGCATTTGCTCTTGATGTTGGCTACGGTGCACCTCTAGCGCTAACAATTTCTGTCGTTTTTCTTCCATCAGTCGTTCGCGATGTTTGTGAATATAATCGTTCACATTTGGCAAGCCCATGATCACGCAGGCTGACAATGCTGACCGATACACGTTCATATCCGTTGCTTCGTACCTATAAAAAATATCGGATCGAAAGATGACGGGTCTGGTTCTGGATCTGGATCTGGCTCTGGCTCTGGCTCTGGCTCTGGCTCTGGCACGCGTAATTTTTGTTACTTCCGTAAACGATTTACCATTCATTTGTTCTTTCATCGTAACACTCGACGTGATAAATCGTAGTAACACCGTTGAATCCACCGATTGCAAATATCATGTCATCAATCACTTCAATTGCAAAATTACTTCTCGAATTGTACATGTCTGGAATTGAGCTCCACATATCCGTGGTAGGATTGTATTTTTCCCCGCTGCACATTCTCGATATTCCATTAAAACCCCCTGTAATTGTTGAAGGTTTAACTCAAGTCGAATTTGTGAAAATACAGCTCGGTATAAAATCTGTTGGTAAATATTCTTCAGTTTCGAGCGGACGTTGGAATAGTTACCAATAACGTATACATGGTTGTGATAAGATATGCAGGACACTCCGCTCCTGCGCGATCTCATCGGAGCTATCATCGTCCATTGATTACTTTCTGGATCGTACACTTCTGCAGAATTTAAACATTCGTGGCCATTGAAGCCGCCCGTAATATATATTTTGTCTATATCGTAAAAGAAGTTTACACGTTTGTTTATTATGGAATAGATTAACGATTAATAAGAATCTAGTTTGCGGTCTTAAAGAGCACGAACAAGTGTGATTTATATTACGAGTGTAGCTATGCGCTAATCGTCAATCTTTCGTTATACATATGGAAAGGTGAAGTATAAAATGAGTCATACCATTCAAAGTAGTTGCACTGGCGTCTGATCTTTGACAAATCATTGGCGCTATCAAGGACCACTGATTTGTCTTATAATTGTAGCGTTCCGCGGTACTCTGTCGATAATAACCATCGTAACCTCCCATCGCATAAATCAGGTCATTGAGCACAGCAACGCTCACGTAACACCTAAGATTCGCACGGTTTGCTTGTTAGTGGATTATAGTACATAACTCTGTATCGTAGCCATTTTCTTCAATTTTATTAGCATTTCAACCTTCTAGCATTCATCGGAGCAACTTCCCTCCAGACTTTGGTAACAGCGTTGAAGCAACGACAGCTATTAAAATAATCTGCTCCATCGAAACCACCGATTACATATATATTAAAACCAACAACCGCAGTTCCGTGATAAGCGCGTGGACCGATTGGATCTACTTCTTCCACCTTTTAAGAAAGTAACAGGTATATTAATTGTTGTCGATTTCCAACGATGACAAGAATTTTCTTTAGAAATCTAAATCGAAGCTTCCGAGTTTATAAAATCACGAACTTGGTAAGGTTCAATGACACAATGATATAAGATAATAAACATAACAGGTCGTTAGCGAAAATAAAAATGGAAACAACGATAAGATAACCAACGATGATCCTTTGTTTAGTTATCGTACGCGAGAAACGTAAGCACGTGAGTTTCATAAGGTCTTCGAAGAGAAAATTTCTTCTCATTCCGGTAGAGTTTGTTTATCGACTACATACACATACGTATGTATGTATGTATATTAGCAAAAACATTTTTGGCCGATTCGTACAAGTACCGTACACATTTAAATGTACATATCGAACATCTTAAACATTACATATGGTACAATATACGCGCTGTAATCGTTATGCCAGACGAAAAAGGAAGGAGATCTCAAGATCAACTTGTTCAAATTTTAAATGGATTGTTATATTTTTTTTAACTTACAACCTGCTTTAACTACAACTTTTTGACTGACCTGACTAATCTGGCGTGGTAGATCGCTGAACTCGTCTTAAAAACGGCTGTCATTCCGTAGGACAAAAAATATAACACTCCATTTTAAAAAAACGAAACCTTGAAATCTCCTTAGGCTTCCATCTAAAAAGAAATAACTTTGATTGTTCGGTGGAACAATCAAAAAAATTGTGACGTTATCGTACTATTTTGTTTTTCTTGTGTAGTTTGTAAGTTCATTATCGAAATGTATGTATTTCTTAAGTGAGAAGCATAAAAAAAAATCTTGTATTATTTCGTTGATCTTTCGTACTCTTGTTACTTTGTGACTCACGGTATCTTTGATTTCGATACATGTTACGTATTACAATGTGTACCTTGACCCATCGATCCGCCCTGGTGTCGTAGGTCTCTATGAAATTTGTAGGACTTCTGCCACTCCATCCACCTATCGCGAACAGTATCTCGTGGGGCACCCTCGGTCGTGCGATTTTCGGGGTGGGTATTTCACCATCTTTTTGAGTGATAATTTCGAGATCGTACAAAAACTTTAAAGTCTCGATGATAATGGGCCGACACGCGTCGTTTCCGGTAACGTATGGGTGATCCTTTACATTTTCCAGAAAGAACTGCGTTTCCAAAAGACCAAGGCGGATGTTCTTCATCAAATCGACTATGTAATCCTTCCGGGACTGTGGATCGTAATCGATCCATTTCAGTGCCAATTCCCAGACCGTATCCTCGCTCTTAACGTTCAGCTCGTCGGCTCCGATCAGCGTCGTTAACTCTTCTATGGACAGATCTAGAATTTCATCGCTTCGATGGGCTACCTAAGCGCAACGAAACCGTCGTTGTAATCGTTTGTTCGGAGAAAATGTTTGAAATGAGCGACAGAGTGTAGCGAAATAGGACAAACACGGAAATTAATAGAAAATTTCCTCTCTGTAGCAGCCCCATCTACATCCCTCTCCCTTAATCCTTCCCTTAATCTGCTAGTAAGCAGATAACGAAAGAGTGATGACCTGCACGAAATGTCTCATAACGTAACGATACGCGCTGCTCTCTAATCCCTTGCAAAAATGTTCTCGGGCAAATCTCATGACGGTGATGCAGTTTTCCGGAGCCAAGTTTTTCTTGAGAAATTCACAACAGATATCGAGAACGCCAAAAATGTTCAAATAATCCGCGGTGACGAGCAACTGGCAGACATTTTCGTTATTCACGTTGATCGATCGCAAATAAGCGTATTCCAGGAGGAGATTCATCATGTTGCTGTTAACACCCGGTAAAAGGACGTCTGTTTTCTCACGGGAATGCAGCGTGGTTGTGAACAAAGCTCTGCAAACGATTCAAAGAATCGAATAAACAAAGAAAGCAAAGACAATAAGATATCGTGCAAGGTATGGACCTGAAATACGGGCTGCAGGCTGACAAGATTGCTCGGTGAATCGGAAAGACACCTCCATCTTCCAATCTCAAAACTGCATCGCAAAGAAGGTTGTTTTGTCGAAAGTCGTAGAGAGATTGCATCGCTTGCGTACTCATGCAACGACCACCGCTTTCGGCTATCAAACGCTGAGCGTTTGTCTCGCATATGTCGCTATCTCTGCTGGGATCGTTCGAGTCTACATCCATAGCAGATTTGGTCTTCTTCGGGCGAAAATCTCTTCGGTGGACTCGCGACGACAAGTGCGAACAATTGGTTTGGTCGAGAACGTCGAGGGCGCGACACTTGAAAATTTTCTAATGATATTTTTAATCGTATCGTCGAAAAACCAACGAAATTAATTTCGGTAAATTTAAGAGAAATTTGAAAACGCGTTACCGCCCCTTACGATTAAACAGGTTCCAAAGACAAGATTTCCAAAAATGGCAAGTAGCGATTCAATTAACTCGACCAACTATTCGCGAAATAACGAGGCTGGGGTCCGCGATGGACTCGCTGCGATCGTCCGAGGGTTAAATTTTCCAAATATCGCGTATCGCTAATACCAAGAACATTTGTAACCTTACCCTTATTTGTGAGCTGAAGGATATTCGACTTGAAAGGACTTTGATAATTTTCTGATCGTTCAGGAGGTTAAAATTTCTCGCGGTTGTCAACGGTTTCGGACAATTTCACTCCGTAATTTTTACAATTTTTATCTTCGAGGATGCGATTGGGGCGAATTCTTGCGTGCACTCGATCGGCACCGGTAGGTACAGGTTTGTACAGCCAAAGTAGAAGGTTCAGCGATGGAAATGGGAACTTACGCGTTGCAATTTCGGATGTGTCAAATTTTCTGACACGTGGACGGACGGACTTGAAGACCGATTTATACAACAAAGATTTTAAAAAAACGATCCGGAGTGGAGCGGTGGAGATGGGGTGGCAGAGAGATACAAACTATTTTGTGTGATTTTAAAAGAGAGTAAATGTCGCCTCTGGCTGTGACATAGGTCTTACATGTCCGCCGTTCAGTCTAGGACTGTCTTCTGACAAAAGAGCACATTTTTGGCAAGTTCAGGACAGTCTAATACAAGGAGGGCTGGAATTACAAGTTTATCTCTTAGTTAACCCTGCGATGCATGAGTTTCCATTTCTATCCTCTAAAAGTGGAAAGAGGATATTTTGAATATATTTTATTTCACTGTTTATTCTTTTCGCGAGTATGTATGATAATTTGCATTGCAAAGTTCCTTTTCGTGCCTTTCCTTGGTCTGCAAATTTGACTGAAATGTGTATTTCGAGGATAAAACGACTCGTATATGTATAATATTTCCATAGATTTGAAAGCATAGATGACCAAACGTGTAGTCATATGGCAAAAGCCGGAGTGAAAGTGTGAATAAAAAATACATGAATTCAAGGAGCTAATATAAAAACGTGTTTTAAGATTTGGCTATTTTAGACGTGCCGGTGTTTTTTTCGATGGAATTATTTCTACTTGTGGGCCATACCACGGCATTGGATCTTAAGAATCATCAGTTTCTTACTAATACTTTCTAACAGCTTAACAAAAAGTATCAATTGTTCGTAACAGTATCGCAAATATCGCAAATATCCCGTAACACTTAATATACAAACATAACTTGGTTGCGCAATTTTTTGTTCGAGATTCAACATTATATATATATATTGACGTTGATCGACGTTCTCATCAATTCCACCTTCTTCTCACTAAAAATGTTACGCTTATCCCCTTTCTCTCTCCTCAATATCTACTCGACCTCTACGTGGCACGTGGCACGTGTCGCTCCGTACTTGGTCAGCCACGCTATGTCTAATCCCAGTCTCTGTCCACCTGTTTACCTGGTACACAACAGAATTGGCAAGCGTCAGATCGGTGCTAGACACCATCGATAGCGTTGGGATAACCATACCGTTGGAGGCACTGGTCAGAAACGCGTTCCATTTCCCAAGGAAAGGTTCGTGTGCCTCCGATACTTTTTTAGCAGATTCTACCATTCCAGATTTGGTGTTCCGAATAGGCGCTTCGTTGGTTTCTTGGCCGAATATTCGAAACGTCCACGCGACCACAGCGAACGTCACTGCGTTTGTCGGAAACGCTCGAAGGATGGTCGAACCCAATCCTCTGTACAGACAAGAGTAACCCTCGGCTTTCACCGATTGTTTCAAACAATCGAGCATCCCCGCGTACCGTTTGCTATCCGCTTGGATTCGGGATTTGACAACATCTAGAGGATAAGTGATCATCCAAGAAGCTGAGCCGGCCAGACCACCGGCCAGCAACATGCAGCCCGTCGAGACAGGTTTGTTTTCCGATGTTTTCGTCAAGGCTTCGTACGTCGTGAAGTAAATGCCAAAACTAGGCGCTTCTCTGAGAAACGTGATCCCCAGACCCCTGAACACGCCGCGGATACCCTCGTATTTGTACGTATGTTTCAGGCATTGCAACGGCCCGGAGAATCGAGTGCTCGACACTTGCAACTGCATGCGCGTTTTCGTCAGCTCGATCGGGCTGCAAATGGGAGTTTGGGCGATTCCTGCCAAGGTGCCGGCGATGAAGTGCGCGAACAAAGAATCAGGATTCGGTATGTGTTTCTGGGTTTGACCGTAGACACCGAAGATGATGGCGTTTACCAATCCAACGCCTGCCATTGGAGATGACATGCCTCGGTAGAGGCCTACTACCTAGTAATACAAAAGCACGATTAGCTGTGATCTTGTGAAATGTTTTGCAGAAATTATACCAAGTAACACACGCCAATATTTTCATGTGTTCAAATACCGATTCTTTGGCGAGTATCGAGCGGAAACAATCCCAATTGCCCTTATATTTCGGGTTTCGATAATCTTGCGTTTGCATGTGAACTTTGATTGTGTCCAGAGGATATCCCACCACAACACCGGCGCATCCTGAAATTAATTATTTCGTTTAACGATTGGATCATTCAACTAGTTGCGATTGTTTATCACTAACTCGATATACTTTTTTCCGCGCATCTACATGTTAGTTTAATTGTGAGAAAACTATAAGCGAGATCAGGTCAATTATCAATGAAAAACGTTATAAAAAGCTAGTTTGCGATAACAGTCACACGCGATAACCCGATACGTTCAAGCATTGCCGAATGAATTAAAATTATGTACGTTCGTACGAACGATAAATTGTAGAGTGCGTATTGTCGTAACGAGCAAAATTTTTACAACGATTTCACGTTTCGGTCTACATATTCGGTGTATTCGATTTTTAATTAACGACAGTTTAACGATAATAGACACGTCGATGAATGTCGATCATCTACCTCCCACACATCCGGCGACAAAGTCGAGGGCCATTTTCGTCTCGCGGTAACTCCTACGCGTTTCTTCCACCCGTAAACAGTTTGCACGTCTTGAAAGTTATCACTTTGATCAAATATTCCTGTCACGCTTGCCAAGGACGAGTAAACGCAAGTGGTGGGTCGATTCGTTTCCAAAAAAAGAGACTTGGAATCCATGTAAGATTGATCACTGCTTCGTCGCACTCGTGTCTGCGGTGAATGAATTCCAAGCAAAAACTATTTATTTATTACTCATTCATAGATCGAACAATTAAATTTTGTTTGATTCGAGACATCGTATATTGAAATACTTGCCAAGTGGTAAGTCATCGCTACATCTCCCGGGACACGTCAGCGAACGTTTTCATCCCTCTTTCGTCAACCTTTGGGTTTGTTCGAGCTCTTCTGTTCGGAAATCTTGTTACTCGCGCGAAACCAAGTCTTTTCCATGCTACTAGTCGACCAACAGAATTTCTCACTGAAACTGCTCCACGAGTCTGTTGCGTTCTCAAACGAAACAAGATCGTGCTTGTATTATCGACTTGTTATTGGTGTTCCGCTACTAGCGTTTTTAAGTTATTACGACAACAATGTTAACGATATTCGCGCATCTCTGTTCGACCTATTGCGACGAAGAAACAGTGTGAGGGTCAACCGCTGATAAGAGGCCGTTCGTAGCATCCAATCAAATTATTTTACCGTTCAGCGTTCACTGGAGTTGATAGTTGATACACAACTGTTCTTCTTTCATCGCGAATGTACATTTTTTGTATTAATTGCGTTAAGAGATGCGACATCGGTTGCAATGCATCGTTAATGATGTCTACAGCATTTCTTGGAATTGTTGGCTGGTACTATCTCCGACACGCGACAGCCGATATCTAAGGTTACAAAGTAGCTAACGAAGCAAGACATGATTTTTATACTGTTTGCTTATATCAATGTAAAGCTACGTTTATCGAATCTAATAATACGAGAGTATGTCTGTATACTAATAGAAAGTCGCGCCATCGCTTCCGCGGTGCTGCCACGATCGAATAACAATTCATCCTTTTGCGACATCGATAGCTAAGAACGTAGAGAATCGATCCTTTAATTTAAATTTCACCGATAATACCGAACAGTTCCGAGGTTTTAAAGCCTGTATCAGCTTTACTCTAACCGCTATCCACTGAACAGTGTTACAAAACTGTCTTTTTAACACAATTTCTTTGTATATGGTACGAGACCCCATTGACTCTACATTTTTCGCGGTATCAGTGTTTGTTTAAATTCTCGTTCTTCCAGACAATCATGCTTCCTTGAAACCTGTACGGCATCTCATTAAAACCGAGCAGCGCGACGCGGCAACACCCAGTCATATCGAGACGCTCGACCTGTGAAAGTCGTGACACAGCCACCGATTGTCTTCAACCCTTTTCGCGATTCCATCGACGGCCTGGTGATTCAAATGTATGCGAAAACGATAGCTAAAACGCCGACGATGGTAGGGGAGGATGGACTCAGCGGATCGCCCCCTGACAAGGTAAACAAGAGTTGGAATGAAAATTTGTACAACTTTTGACATAACGTGTTCAAAGAAAATTGCGAACGTGCACGACACTATTCAGTTCAGAGTACGAATTTTTCTTGCTGTATAGTAGGTACGAATTAATGCATTTTCCACGAAATATGTAATATTTATGTTTTTCGATGAACAAGGTCGATCGAATAATTGTGCGCGCTAGTGGACGATAAATATAGCATAGCTCGTACTACTACTTATACGTATCCTGATTTGCAGAACGTCGTTTGTAACCTTGACTATATTTCGCAATGAGCCTTATTTACACGGGTATCATTCGTATTCAACGCTTCACAAACTAGTCGCGTATTTCATCAAACCGATCTTGATTCGATTAACTTTGTTAGTATAGAGTGATTTCCCGCAGCAACCGCGAGATACCGATTTACTCAGCGTATAGATTCCATTAAGTTAATTGTTTTCGAAAAAAAAAATGATTGAATATCGCTATGATTTTCACACGTACAAGGTGGATTCTTTCCATGAGTGTGGTCCTTGGCGCCAATTCAGAAAACCTGTTTTCGCAGAGATGTAAGAGAAGGGAGGTATTATGGTTGCTTCATCGACAAGATCAAAATAGGACGTGGGGACATTTTTTTACATTGATACGCCGGTTGCCGTTTAATCGTAATCGTACTGCAAACTATTTCAAATAAAAGATCAATTGGAAAAAAAGAAATGTGTCGCAAATAGTATGGCTTTCTCTATGAATACATTCTGTTACGTGTGATTTGTTTTCTTTAAACGCAATAGTTTCACATTCACCGCGTGCCTGATGAAAATCACTTTGTCCAGCGAAATCGTCCTTGACATCTAAAGTGCATGGTAGTTAGTCTGATGTAAAACTGAAGAGAGTTACATTTGACTTTCGACGATTCTTTTCGGGATTTCAGAGATTTCCGCGGGAAAACGGTGAATTGTATGCAACCTCGATGACAATCGGAAAATGGAAGATTTTAGCGTTAAAAAATCTCTGATATCCCCACTTCCTTGTTAAACCATTAAAGAAGTACGGCGGACAACCAATAATAGTGGGAGAGGGATTGGCTCTGGGTATATAAAATAGACGTGTGACGATTTAATGGAGCTCACTTTCTATAAATCTGTTCCGTTGAAAATAACACAAGTAGCATTTTCGACTATCTTGTAAAGGTCCAATCGAAGGCTGATTTACCATGTCGGATGTAAGAAAATAATCCGTATTGTTTTTAAACTTTCTTTTCTATATTTTACATGAAATGTTTTATTTGATTTCTTATTAATTACATAAAGTACGTTTTGTTTGCGATAGAATGTTAAAAATATTCGCAAAATTTACATGGTGGCTATGTAACTACGTAATATTTTTATTCGGCTTCATCGACGATCACGGCATAATCATGTAATGATATTTTTGTAATTGCCTCCGCAGCTAATGCTGAATACATGAACATTTAATTTGTTGTAGTTGCGATGGAAAACAAATATTTTATTTCGTTTTAATATTTGTGGTATAGATAATATTTTCTTCGTGGGTTATATTACTTTGATGTACGTTAAATATTTGTGTATTTTATTGTTTTCATTGATAGCCTAAACTCATACATGGAGGTAACTACATCAAGGAAGGTAAGGATTCCGCTAAGGGCACCTGCCTCATCTTCTCTCCAAAAGGACAGGACTCCGTTGGTGCTCTAGCCAAGTATCTACAACTGTTCACCGTGAGTATTATACGATATATTCCATTAAAAAACTTATTTATTATACATATTGTAGGATTTATTATATGTTACTATATTTATAAAATACTGACTTAACTATTAACGAAACTAAAATGAATAGAGTCCGCTCAACGATCCGCTCTACGTCTATTCGCGCCGTTTTTACCCTTCGACTGCTCAACTAAATCTGTCTCCAACGCTTCTTTCTCTACCTCCCCTTAAAGTTAAACACTACCCAGGGTTTTTCCCAGACAGGGGAACGTTGTTCTAGGCGTCCTCGCCGAGGCGCGCCTGGACAACATCAGCCCAAGTGGCCAGGTCATAAATTAAACTAAACTAAAGCTACGTTACAATATCCTTATACCTATCCTATAGCTAACGCTCCCTCTCTCTTCCTCTCTCACGCACACGCACACATTCCCACTCCTACAATATACTATAATATACTATATCTTGGCAAATTGTCTGTGAGTATTAATTTTCGGCTTATTTCGAAATTTAGGATATCGAGAATTTTATTACAACTATTTTTTTTCCAGCAACATGAAGTTAATTTGTTACACATCGAATCTAGAAGTTCTCTTCGCCGATCGGATGTTTACGAATTCATGGTCGAGTGTGCCCCAGGCGGAAACCTCGGCTCCGTGATAGATAATTTACGCAAGGAATGCAGTTACTTGTCGATCATTTCCAGGTGGATATCTGTAGGATATAATTTTAATGTTAACGAGGTGACGTTACGGCATTTCAATCGTTGCTCCCCTTCTATAGAAATCATAAGGACAACATTGGAACCGTGCCATGGTTCCCGATACGTATCAGGGACCTCGATAAGTTTGCCAATCAAATCCTCTCCTATGGATCTGAATTAGACAGCGACCATCCGGGATTCACAGACACTGTTTACAGGCAGAGACGCAAGTTCTTTGCCGACTTGGCTTTCAATTATAAGCAGTGAGTTTTTGTCGGTCAAGTATAAGAGCTAATCGAGACCCTTCTGTCACTCGCGGACCACCCACAAAATTACCGAAAGTCATTCTAACGATTCTGACTTTACGATTTCAGTGGTCAACCAATCCCGCGTGTGGAATACACTAAAGAGGAGATTGAAACATGGGGTGTAGTTTTTAGGAATTTGACGAAACTTTATCCAAAGTATGCTTGCAAGGAGCACAACCACGTGTTTCCTTTGCTTATTGAAAACTGTAATTACAGAGAAGACAACATTCCTCAGTTGCAAGATATATCAAACTTTTTGAAAGGTAGGAATAATGTAATTATTTCGAAGGCGGTACGATACCGATTAGCTGAAACAATTTATTTAATCGTACCGAATTTCTTCTTCTTCTTCAGATTGTACCGGCTTCACGCTTCGTCCAGTAGCCGGGTTACTCTCCTCGCGTGATTTCCTGGCTGGCTTAGCTTTCCGAGTATTTCATTGCACGCAGTACATCAGGCATGGCAGCAAGCCATTATATACACCTGAACCTGATGTATGCCATGAGGTATTGGGTCACGTACCTCTATTTGCCGATCCCTCGTTCGCTCAATTTTGTCAAGTTGTCGGCTTGGCGTCTCTCGGAGCCCCCGACGACTACGTCGAAAAACTTGCTACGGTAGGTATACAAGGAACTTAAACTTACCCGCTTTCGGTTAACAATTTACCAATCACCTTTAATTTGAATTACAGTTTACAGTTTACATAATCGTGATACATTTATTTCAGTGCTTCTGGTTTACGGTCGAATACGGTATCTGTCGTCAAAACGGTGAATTAAAGGCGTACGGTGCTGGATTGCTTTCGTCTTTCGGCGAGCTCGAATATTGCTTAAGCGGTAAACCAGAATTGCGATCTTTCGAACCGGCGAAAACAGCGTTGCAAAAATATCCGATAACGGAATATCAACCCGTTTATTTCGTCGCCGAGGACTTTGAAGATGCAAAACAGAAGATGATGTGAGTAAACGACTCCTATTTACGTGCGCGTATTCTACTATTGTCTATATGAAAATATGATGCATGTACGCATACCGTTTTCATTCTTATTCGTACCTTTGATTTCAGTAAATTTTCCGAAAGTATTCCAAGAAAGTTTGGAGTCAGATACGATCCGTACACTCAGAGCATCAGTATAATCGACAGTAAACATCAAATCGAGGATCTCATTTACAACGTGAATCAAGAAGTACAAATTTTAATGGACGCTTTGCGAAAATTGAAGTAACATTGTGTTAAGTAATGATAATACGCATTGATGCGCGAAATAAAGTGACTGCGAACTTGTTTAACAATTAATTGATTCAAATGAAACTATATAAATATTAACGTAGCGTAAAGTAGACACGTTTGTTATTTTAGAAATCATTTTATTGCCGACGACATTATAAATTGAAATTTGTTGACCGCTATAAGGATTCGTGTGTTCCAACTCGACCACGGGTGATTCCAAAAATTAATCGTTGCAGCTGAATTTCTAAAGATAATAGGCCATTACAGGAACCCTGTATACGTGTATGCAGGAGGGAAAATTGAAATTCGTTTCGCTCCTACAATCACACAATCTCCTGGTCCGCTTATTATGTTCGTACGAACGCAGCTCTTGTATTATTTACAAAAATCACCGACCTCCACCACATGAAAGCTACTAACAGGAAAATCTGAACGTTAACATTAATAACAATATTGATTTTACATTTCACAGCAGAATATAGCGAGACACATACGAGAACGCAGTCAGACATTGAACAAAACACATCGAACAGTCATGTATACATGTCGGAATACGTTTACCCTTATATCGTATATGTATATGTATATCGTTTACCACATCGCTTAGCTGCTTAAAGGTTGAAGGTAACTCGAATGTTTCTGTTTATTCGTCTCAAGATCAAAATGTTTCTTTCCTCTTGAACGCTACCTATAACAACCCAAGGAAAAATCTCTTGTTCCACTTTTTGTTAAGTAGCATCATTTTCGTTTTGCGGAGCTCGATTAACAAACGTTGCGACAACGGAGATTTCGCTGTCTTTAGGAACCTTTATTTGCACGTTCGATATGAATATATATTTCTCAATTTTCACATGTTGTTTTACAGTGATGCGGGGAAATTTATTGTCTTAATGTGTAGTCGAATGTACACGAATTCTATCTGCATGCGTGAGCAATCCAATAACAATCGTAAAATATAACGTTTTCGATGTCACACTTACGGATATATTGTAGTACACATCGTTTTCTACGATACATATACATATGAAAAATCTATCGATATACATTTACAACAAAATATATTACTTCTTTCCTTTTTCGTAATGTACATACACATATACATATGTCTAAATATACCCTGTTCCCGCAAACACGGGTCCTCGTTCAGTAGTTCCAGCTATGCCGTCATAACAAAAATAATTAGGCTATCCGGAACGCAATATTTCCAACTGTAGCTCCAACCAACTAATTCCAGAAGCGTTTTGTACTCTTGTAAATGAATTAAACTATCCTCTGCGGCAACCTTTCCCAAACTTTCGCTTCTTCGTTGTTCCGATATTCAGAATTATAACGAGACGACTGTGAGACTAAAATTGCCGACTAGGAAAATTTGGGGAACGCTGCTCTACGTAATCCATAAAACTTTTCATCCAGTTCCAACAGCAGTTTCGCGCGTGCTGTCTTTGTCTGGATAAATTTTATACACTTTACACGTATATTATACATATATGTATGGGGAACACGCAATGACCGTTCGTAAGGGCTGGTTTTAATAACATCGACGTTTCGAGGAATCAGTTACACGAGAAGAATAAAAATATTATGATAAATAAATATCTAATGGAAGCAGTTCGAAGCAATTTCAAACTGTCACTTTTAACACAAATTCGACGAGTATTTTTTAACGATAATTATCGACGGAACATCCCTGCCACATCGTCAATCGCCAATTGACGTCGATAATTAAAAGTCTATAAATTCTCCGTTATTCGTCCAATTTGTGTTACTAGCTATGGTAACATCCTACTTTCCAGACGGAATACTCCTTTTGTACAACTCGCGTATAAAAATATTAAATCCTTTGTTTCGTTTGTTTCTGAACAAAGCCACATACGAAACCAAAGGATCATTAGTTGAAAGTGTGACGGAATGCAAAGTGAAAAGCGTTCAGTTCTGAGAAGGCCTCTGTTGCTGATTCGAGGGTGGTTCCATTTCGTTGTACAGGATGTCTGTTTGGTGGGGGCAGATTTGGAAAGGCACGAGATCGGGAGGATTAGCATTTTGCTGCGCAGGTCCCTGCGGTTGAATCATCGTACCGACGCCGACGTTTTCTTGTGCTGTGGTCGATACCGTTGGCACTGGACTGACTGGTAACGGGTGAGAAAATAATTCCGTTGGCACTATAGGGACCGGGACGGTAATCGGCAATGAGAGAACGTTTACACCCTGCACGCTGCTCGTCGTGGACAACTGCGCGTTTGTATTGTTGGTGTTGCATCGATTTATTTGTTGGCACGTGTTTGTAGTATTGTATGGTATGCCAGCCTGCAACAGTATATACGTGTACTTTATAGACATTTCGATAGGAGATGTTGAAATAAATAATCTTGTCGCGTAACATGTTTGGGAGATACTTGCATTGAGTAGGGGCGACAAAATTCCGTATCTAGCGATAAACAATTGTTCCGAGACTCTTCTGAGTTCCTCCTGCTGATGAACTATCAGCTGCTGCAGTTCCTCGTGCTTGCGTTGAAGCTCGTCTTGAATTTGATTCTGTGCCGGAGTCATCACGATACCTTGCTGATGTAACATCTAGAATTATTCGCAGGTACCAAATTTCTACCAAAAATCTGACGGATTATACGAATAATAAGAAGGTTGTATCTTGTATATTGTATCTTGTATCTTGTATCGTTACCTCGTGGGCCGGTATAGTTGAAACGATCGGCGCAGTTGGCGTTGTAAAACCTGTGCTGACCACTGGTTGCAAGTTAATCGTCGCGTATTGCGTCTGTTCCATGAAGCCGACGCAACTCTGATCTACCTCGAACTGAGGTTGTTGCTGGGTTTGCTGTTGTTGGTGTTGTCTGTTGTCGATTTGGCCGATTTGGCCGATTTGACCGATTTGGCCGATTTGGCCGATTTGGCCGATTTGGCCCTTTGACGGTAACGAATTGCTCGCGGGGGTGCCTTTCGACCGCGAGACGTGCGTTATCTGCGAGTGTGGAGAACTTTGCATAGACGTGGACATCGAAGAGCTGTCGGAACTTTCGACGTGATACCGTAATCGCGTGTTCGACGCCACCGGCTTCGTTGCTTTGGACGATTTTGACGGCCATTGCGTCGATGGAACAGGACAAGACGCCGACGTCGTCACCTGCTCGCATAATTTCTGTTACCGGGCTATTAGATTTATTCAAGTCACCGAATTTACCTGTTGTTGCTTCACCGCCATCAGCACACTTTGGCCCTGATCCTTGCCGAAGCTCACCGATTCCTTACGCAATTCTTTAATTACATCGATGTAACTAACCACGTAATGCGTGCACACGATGAATTCAGGCTTCGAATTCCATTGGTTGTACGTAATGTAGAATCTAGTCTGCAACCATATCCACTGCTGACCTTTCGTAAGGAATCTGTAATAGCAGGAGGTTCCTTCGCCTTTCTGCATCACTGCAAACGAGACTTGTTCGATAATAAAAATTACAATTTCGATTAAAATGCGTAGTTACATTTCGCCAAACTCTGCCGGTCTCTGACTCTTTTTACACTTACGCGACTCGTGGCACGTGACAACTTTGTCCAAATCGTCCACGTGATAGTAATCGTAGCCAGACGTGCCCAACACCTCGAACGGTAGATATCCGATGATCGGTGGTGCTCGATGATCCAGAAATAGAAATTTCCACTCGAGGCTGTGACGGGAAGTGAACTCTGACTTTGTGTTGTCCATTACCGATAGTTCTCTGATCAACTGAGGCGTATGAAGACGTCCTGTACCCACGAAAACTAATCTAAGGGTGCACAAAACGGTGGAAAAAGATAACCACGAGAATATCGTCTTTAAATTAACGATATTTAAATTAGTTAACGTGCAAGGAAATTACTTCATGTCCATTCCACCGGTATTACCGAACTTTGTGTTTGGAATCAAGTTATCCACCTCTGCATCAACGTCAGAACCTGTAAGGAACGAATGATAAATCTTGCCGAGCGAACCTATATTTCCGTTAAATACGCAATTATGCGAAACGTTAATTACATACGAAAATATCCAACAAATTGTACGAGTTCGTATATTGGGTTTTCCTGGATGTTTAATCCACCCCTTTTAATGTGACACGAGAAAGATATTTGATCCTCTGTAAATGTAACGATATCGTTAACAATATTACCGTGATTATAAAAGTGTTGCTACTCTCATAATTATCAGCTCATGCAAGCTCCTACCCTTTTTAATGTTTCGTCGGTCTTTTGTGTTGGCAGGATTCAGTAGAACGTTGTAAAGAGGAGATTGGTCGTCCTGATAAGTAATATCATAGATGGTCGTGTTTTCCAGCTCGTTTGGAAGATACCCAAGTAGAGATGTAACACTTTCAGACACATAATAAATGCGCCCGCTTGAAGAAAATACCATTATAAAACCGTCCAGAGCCTACATTAAAGAAATGTCGCTTGTGTTTTCATCACTAAAAACTTCAGTCGTTACAATACGTCGTTGAAATTCGTACTAACTGAACTGCACGTTTTCCCTAATGCTCGTTATAACCGTACATTATCGACCATAAGTTTAATAATTCAGCGATATTCGACGACTTATCGAATATCACGATTAAATATTTACTTTATTATGATGGTAATACCTCTAATATGAGATGCGTGAATTCTTCGTTCGATAGAAAAGACGGTTTCCAATCTTCCTGTATTTCGTGCACCCTTGATCGTACAGCTATTTCTGCAAGTATTCACAGACCTCGAGTAATTGTAAATAGGTAGCGATGCGTTTGTGCCGTGCTATTTATTTCGACCATACGCACCGTTATGGTTTTTCAGGAATAATATCGTTGATTTTAATACGGTAGATTTGTCCATTTTCCGTGCGTTTGAACCAACCATGCTACCAAGTTCGTTTACGAGCATATTGAACTGATCCCGGCGCTTCTTCTCGCTCAAATTCCGGGATTTTCTAATGATCAAGGTTTAGCAATCGAAAATAGATCAGAAGTTTTCAAATTTAACCGATCAAATTTATTTCGTATTCGATGCTCACCGCTTTGTGTCATCCTTATCGTCGATGTCATCGTCCATTGTGTCACTGGACACGAAACTTGCGAGTTAGTCGAACGTAATATAAAACTCCGTTGTACAAATATACATACAAGTATTTCGATCTGGACTAATTCTGTTTTGGAGGGATTTTCGTAAAAACCGTGATTTTCGAAAGGTTAAAGAACCACTGATACAGAGAAGCACGTGCATCACGATCAAATCAATATTACCGCGCGCTTGTTGTGTAACATGTTCCTCCGCAGCCAATATTGCCGAGTGCAATGATATTTCGTGTCATCGTTCAAAACAATCTTTTCCAAGGTAAATGTTACAAAGAAAAATTACGTAATCGGTACATAACGGATTTGGGATAACCAAGAAGAATATAGTCGTGTGACAAATCAACTACATATGTCCACGTAATCATCCACTTTCATAAATCCCGGCAATCGATAGTAATCGAGAGCCAGAATAGCATAAGTGAAAAGTGGCCGCGTTTCGCGTGTCGTAATAGCTCCAAGATAGCAGCGAGAAGATTGTAAAAAGCGCGATAGTAAACGTCGATTCGCAGCGCTGATCCATGTTCAGCGAGAAAAGTGGATTCTTCCAGTAGTGGTCAGACACTCGAATCAGTCGCAACACACGGATGATCTGACGATCGGCTCGGGTTAAACTATTGATACATATAAGATATAAGATACAAGATATCAAATTTTGATTCCTCGTCCAATAGTAGAAACAAGTTTTAGATTTTTGGTTATGTAAATCAAGTGTCGTTACAATAAATGATATGGTTTCAAAGTTTGATCATTTCATTCGACACGATTCCTCTTTTTGCTGATTTTACGAGGTAGCTCAGAGTGCAAAGGGTTAACGAACAATCGTGATCATGCATCGTATTATTAATTATTCGTTAATGATTAATCACTAATTAATAATCGTTAATCATTATTACCGATTCCACGGTAATAGGAATGCAATATAAATTATAATGCATTACAATGTGTCCAACACTATCCGATACAACATACAACTGGCATCGAAACAATCGTTTGATGACAACCGAGCGAAGGATCGAGGAAAGGCTCGATCATCGAGACTAAGGCTGAGAGGTCGCGGAACGACGGTGTTCGTTGCGTCGGAACGTCGCGTCGGCTTCGAATTGTTCCAGATCGAAACATATTTGTCGGACGTTGATTAACGCATCACTCACTCGGATTGTCGAGACGAGGGTCCTCGCGAATAACTCGCCATGTAGCTTCGTCCACGTATGTTGTCACGCGCCTATGCGTATTAGGCGACCAACACGTTGCCTCCAAAGGTTCAGATCGAACGATCCCCGCTTCCTCGAGGCTGTACCACCTGACTGCTCCTCGGACGCGTACAATGCTTCACTTGTTGGGGTTGCCAGTTCCTCCAGCAACATCGACACATTTTTTCACCACGGTTTCAAATACGATCGCACAATCGTCCCCGTCTCTAACGGCAACTCGAGTTAGCCTACGTGCATACCGTCCGACGCGACGCTTGCGTACGACTTGCAATGGAAGGTCCGCAACACCGTCTGAAGTTGCATCGACTCAATTAGCGGCCATCACCTCCAGACGGGAGAACGCATGCTCGGATTCAAAGCTACGGGATACACCTACCACGAACTAACTCTTAATTCTCTTTGGAATAAACTATCCAGTTGCGAAACACATTCACCTATCCACAGAAAAGTACCATTTACCTGTTTATAGTTTGAGACGGTCATCTGGTACGAACGTCTGTCTGAAATGGATCGAAATTATTAAAGGTCGAAACGTTTAAATCGGCTATGCTTGTTTGGACTGTACGTGCTATAATATTCAGCTTTCTCTACGAGTTGTTACTCGAACAGTGGGAGAAAGGAAAGGTCTGGTTTAAATCTAATCAGCGATTCATAAAGGTACAGTTGTCTCTTTGTTATATCGTTCGTATAGAGTTCGTGGAAATGGATGGACGCGCCGATAGAATAGCAAAATTGCGGCAAACTTCACGCAGACTTTTCGCGAACGGATCATGGACGGCAAGCATTTTCCAAGAGTGCGCAGCCGCGGCTTATCATTGCCCTGCCATCATGGAACCGTGTATTCGCGTCGAGGTGAGCGGCCAAGCCATATCGCGCCGCGCCGCGCCGCGCCGGCCGTTCCGTCTTTCGCGATCTAGACACTGGCTGATTGGCCAGTCCTCGTTGCACAATTTCGAACGCTGCACCAATCGCAACAGTTGACTATGCAGCTTCTAAACGCGAGCGGCAAATCCGTAAAACCTCAGTTTTCTCGGATACGATACCCTCGAGAGGGCAGTTTAAACCAAGCTGCAGGTTGTCTTGCACGACGAATCGATCAGCAAAAGATACGCGAGGATGATGAAAGGGTCATAGAGACAGCAATCCATAAATTTTACATAATGTTTATTATTTATAGTGTACTCAGAAATGTCGGGCCTCAACCAGTGGGCCTCCTCTTTTTTTTTTCTTTTGACATATTTGATCAGTAAACATCACAATGTTAATTTTCCTCCAGTTCGTACAGTTTTTATTTCCTCCTTCTCACTCTCTCTTTCTTTTTCTCTATTAAAAGCGACGCGCAAGCTGCTCGTATTGACTCGTGAATCGTATAAGAGTGATTTTTTACGCGTTTTGATTTAAACTCGCGATTAAATCGAAAAAAAAGAAAATGTTTCTTTTCTCTTCGTTCGCCTCGTTTCTTTGAACAGACTTTCTCAGGATTCGACCAAGGTGAAAACATTGTCGAGAAACAAGTCAACTTTGTTAATCCGTTACGAGCAGATTGTGCCTCACAAAAAATAGATAATTATCCAGGTTCGAGGTTCTTGGTTCTCCATCCATAATTCAACATGCCAGCATATTCGTATAACAAAACGTCGAATGTAACAACTTCATAGAAAAAAAAAAAAAAAACAAAACAACAAAAACACAAAGAAAGGTCTACCTTTATCGTCAACTGTTCGAGGTAATGAATTTCGATTTGCGAGTTCGATGGTTGATGATATACATATCTGTATGTGTGAATACACATACATACAGGTGTACATATATATATATATATATATAAATACCCACACACACACACACATATATACCACGTATATACCTATACGTATTCGAGTGAGAATGTTTTCGGTATGAACGTAACTTAGAATTAGAAACTTCGCGTATTACAAAAGTTGCCGTCGAATTTGAACTCGATTTTGTTGACAGTTAGAAAAAACGCACCCTTATTTAATAATCACACACACACACTCTCTCTCTCTCTCTTTTTCTGTTTCTCTTACTCTTTCTTTTCATTTTACTCTTATTTCCAATATCGGGCCGACATTCGAGGAGCTTCTAAATGTGTAGGGCATAAAAATAGGACAAAAAGGATTCGGGAGTTAACCAGGGGATGGACGAGGGGGCAGGGGTATCGGGATAGGGGACTGACTTTCCTTTTCTCATTTTATTCGTATTATAGTGACCAACCACCCCCACTGTACACGCTTCTGCTCGACTCATCGTCCTTTTCGTGGACATTGAAAAATTAGGATACGCACGAGCGTCGAGCGCGAAGATTGAAACACGAAGAGCAAAGATTCCGTGTAGAACGGGAAACTTGATTTTGTTTGTTAACGTCGATAAATCGATTCGTTGCACGCTTTCTATTCCTCGTTTCAATCTTCGATTCGACGAATTAAAAAATTTACCGCGGCTCTGTCGTCGAACGGTCGAGATCGTTTGTTCGGAACAAGAATGATTTCTTCTTTTGCGAAAACTCGACAGCAATCGAATGCGATTCGTTCGATGACAGATCCCGCGGCCGCACGCTAATAAAATCGGCGCGGAAGCGATGGTGGCGCGTGGGTACATTTCTTTCTGTCAAGTTCTCGTTAGATGAGGAATCGAGGGTGGAGGGTGAGTCGATATTCGAAAAAATCTTGGTAAAAATATGTGCTTGCGGACCCCGCGCCACTCGGCTCACCGACGCTTCTGGCCCACCTTAATTAATTCTCTTAACCTCCGTAAACACTTCGTCCAGCCTTCACGCTATACGAAATGACCGTTACAGTATCATATTATATATATATAATATATAATATATATATATATAATATATATAATACATATATTATATTCTACATTACATTACTATGTTCAAAAAATAATATTACAATATATATATAGTGTGTGTTGTTATGTGTATTATCATTTTTTTTCTTTTTTTTTCGTTATTATTCTTATTTTCCTCCTCACCTCCGCGATAGTGTACGCCTCTTACATTATCGCTTGTTTTCACTCTCGTTTTGTTCATTTTGTTTGTTTGTTTGTTTGTTTGTTTGCTTGTTCGTTTGTTTGTTTGTTTGTATGTTTGTTTTTTCCCTATTTTACGCGCGGTAGTACCTAAAATTTACAATTAGTTTATTAATCGACGATTCGATGCTGCTGAGAGCGCTGGTAAACCTATGATGAGAGAAGACTTACACGGTACAAAGCGACGGCTCGAAGTTTGCGTTTTCCCGATTCTTTGAACGGTTGTATAAAATTATTCTATTCTCGCGGGGTAGTAGGTCTCGATATAAACGGCGCTTTCCATCGTTATAAAATTCGTTTCGCGTGACAACAAATCGCGCCAAACAGCCCAAAACGGTCGCCGATCGTCTTTGGCTCTTCCTCGCGACGATCAGAGATGGGCAAAACTTTATTCACGCTATACACGGCGAATAGGAACGTATTGACAATTAATGTAAAAAGTTTCGGACCGTTTAATCGTTACTCGGAATGTTTGTCCTTTCGGTTGTCTTGGAATTTTGCGATTTGCAATTGTTCAGAGCTAATAGAATCCGACTGTCCCATCTCCGACGACGATAACATCAACGAACGACCGCTCTGTCCGTTCTTCACCACGGAATGCCCTATAAGATTTATCTTCAGCGTGAAACGTGTCGCTTCTCTCAGCAGTACGCGCGTCACGTTTACCAAATCCATTTGGTGTGGTTGTGTGGATGTAAAACCGCTAGGCGCTTCTTCTTCTCTTTCTCTTCGTTTAATTTGAATAACAACCATTTTTTTTATTTTTTAATTTGTTTTACTAAATATATCACAAACTGCCGGTGGCTAGTGCAGCCCTCGGATTCACGTCGAACGCGTCAACGTTGCTTGGTATCGGCGAGTTGGTCGTCTTCGGGGACCGAGGACTCCGAGATCCGATCCGTTTGTTTCGAGACAGCGTTCGCCGTGAACGTTTGGGCTACCACCGGAAAAATATAACGTTAAGGGGTTACATGTTAATAGTTACATCACTGTCGGAAGACGCAAGCTTCCGGAGGGTTCACGGATGGACAGTCTTGCTTGCAGAAGCGCTCACCGGGAACCCTTCGGTCTTGTCCCCAACGTACGGTTAGTTTAAGTTTGTCGAACTAGTAATTTTCCGTTTATCATGCTGCCACAGAAGATTCTCTTTACTCGTAAAACTGTAAATACCTTTATAAATCCATGACCTTAAAGTATTACGTAATTTTCGTTTACCTTCTTTTTTTTCTGTTTTCGGTTTTTCTTTCGCGTCGTTTTAATAAAATCTCGCGGATGCCCAATGGATCGATACCGAATTTACGCGTTCCTTCTATCGATTGCTTCTTCTTGCTCTCGGTTTTCTAGGTTTTCGTTCGATAATTTTCTCTTTAGAAAACTTGTAGTCAAGGGGGGCGACCGTGTTATTATATCGGAAGGACATGACAGGGGCGAGGTTAGGACAGAGGAGATCAAGCCATCTTCAAACTATACAACGACGTAAGTTGATTACACTGAAATTGTTTGTTCACGAGGCTACAGGCATCGGTTGCTAATACCGCGGAAAAAGGATTACTCTAACATTTAGTGGGCAATATATATATATATGCGTGACCCAGAGAAAAAGGTGTTGAAACGAAGGTGCCCTCGCGTTGCGCTAGTCGCGAGCGCTCCGATTACTCTCGCTGCTGTACCGTATCGTATGTGATTAAACCGTGTTGGAACAATTTAGAACAATTAAATACTGTATAACTATCGCTATTATTTTGCAATCGCGTGATTAATTATTAATTACACCAATTGCTATTTGCGCAAAGGCAACGCCGTAGAGCATGTTAGACGCAGCAGGAACAATCGGGACGCTGATACAAAACGAGGGCATCGAAACTAGCGTTCAGCAAAAGTGGCACGTCGTTAATATCCTAAGCGGGATCGACTACATCTCTAAGAGTATAGACACGTGGCGATAAATATACGTATAGTAGTAACATTCTACACTTAGCATAGCTCAGGCGTGCGCGCTTGTATACGTATGAATGACCAAGAACACGTAGCCAAACTTTATGTGGATGTGCGTGGGCGCTCGCGCGCGCGCGCGCGTGTGTGTGGACATGTTTGTGTACGTGTTTGTGGATTACAAAGGGTCTATAAAAGCGTTTCGCGAGAGGCGCGTCAGCTCACTTATAAGCGGGAGGTGAAACCACGAGCGCGCTTCAAATTGTTCGTAGCGTCGAGTATTGGATTAAGGAATAAGGATTATAGGTTTAACTGTATCCGTCGTTATATAACGGGAAACGCTTCTACTTCCTAAATAGTGTATAAGAATTTTAACGTCTTGTAGTTCACGTGGGATCAAACATCTCTCCGTCGATGAATCAGTTCACGGTAATTGTTCGCTTTTCTAAAGTGTCGCTAAGACCAGAACAAGCTGAGGGGGTTAGAAGTTTGCCGCGTTGATCGGTCAAACGAGTGTATCAATCGTAACGAAGATCCGGGGAAGGGTTACGGGTCTCGGGTCTCGGGTCTCGGGTCTCGGTAATATGTAACGGGGTGGGAGTTGAAGGAGAGGGACAGGTGAGGAGGGAGTCTCCTCCATGTTTTCGTTTCTTTCTTCGAAATTTCGAAATTTCTCGATAGACGTCTCCTCTGCGATCTTTCTTCTGTGCCGCGGTTAACCCTTTTACCATGGACGACGTATACACACATGTCATCGAACGGTAACCGTGATTTAAGAATTTAACGCATTCACTTTCGTATCCTGGGTAGAGACAAGGTTCCGTTGCGATTCGTCGATGGGTCAAGGGCGAGTGAACGCGCTAAACTGTTCGGATCTCTTGTAAATAGACAGCGAAAGGGTTAAGCACGACACGATGGCGTTTGAATTGTTTTCGAGGCAGGCGTGCAGGTGTCCGTGGCGTGAAAGAGTTCACGCCGGTGAGCAAAAATGGAATCGGATTTATTCTCGCCTTAAAGCGCTCGCAAGGATTCGAGCGAAGCGATCGGTTCGATGAGATTTTTCTCTGTTTATTTTTCCATTTCCGGTAAATATTCTACGTCGTCTAAACCATTTTTATTTAGTTTTTTTTTCTTTCGTTTGCTCGATTGTTTACCATAGTTGTCTTCGCCTACTTTGACAGATGAGACGCTTCGCCGTCGCCAAGACATAGACGTTTTTCCGTAACGAGGACGGACGTTTTCAGACTAAGACTAGAAAAATACTAGCGCCTTTCTAGAAACGATTCAGAAACGACAGCTCCGATTCACTTTTATCGAATGCTGTCACGTTCGGAGCTTTCTCGAGCTCCTCGATCGGGGTACGAATGAAAGAGTTCTCTTCAGCGGAGCAACCGGTGACAAGTATTTCGAATAGATTCTGTCGTTTGTCGGATCTTACAATCAACAGCGTACGCGAGGCGAAGAGTCGATAGACCAGCGGCAGAGGCACACGGCGTGTGTTGCTCCTGGCTCTAACCGACCAAAATAGCTGAAGACGAATATAGCACATTTCTGTAATAATAGTTATATTAATACTAAGCGTTTAACTCTTTTTCTCGTCGCGGTTTTCGTAAAGGGACAAGAAGGAGAAGCCGAGGGGTCCGGGGAGGGATGTGAGGGTGGCGGGTACAAGAGGAAGCGGGAACCCAGGGAGAACGTAAACGAAACAGGCAGATCCGAACGAGTGTTGGACCGTTCAGGATCCTCGGTTAGTGGAAACGGAGAGTGGTGTCTTCGGTAACCGTATACGCGTAGACGGCAAATTCTGTTTCTGCTCGTCCGTGTTTATAAGGAGAAAGGGGGTATTAAAAATTCTCTATCGCTACGAGAAGCTTACTAGGCGTAGGCTGGATACACTAACATGCACGATTAGTCGACTGGTAAAAGTTCTCTCGTCTACTATCCGCTAAGATCGTGTTACGTACGCTACCATGTATCGCTATGTTTAATAATCTAAACTCGAAAAATACTATTAGTCTTCGTTAGCTTAGTTCGAAAAATGTTAATATTCGATGGCCGGCGTCGAGCTACCGACGTCGGACGCCTTTTAGTTTTATTCTTTTTTCTTTTGCTTGACCTAGAGAAAGTCGTTCGGAACGTTTACCTAGACGATTTCCGGGTTACGGGTTTTGAAATTGTAAAGATACACGCATAACGGGTCTGTTCGCGTTTCGTCGACGATCCGCGCCACGGATCGTCGTGCCATCCGTTTCTACAACTACCGCGACAATCATTTTTCTTTTCGTCTCGTCGTGTTTTGCGTATGTCGTCTGGAGAGAAAATCGTCTGTTTCTTTGCCGGAAAATGTCTGTGTATACAGTAGTATTCTGAGTAAAAGGAACTCTCTTGAAGAATCGCGCGTAGCGTTGAGGGAGCGTCTGCCCGAACAATACATCTATATATCATTTTTATATATGAATAATACATATCGTGTGTCCGTCTCTCTCTCTCTCTCTGTGTGTGTGTGTGTGTATCTGTGTGTGTATCTGTGTAAGCACAGTACGTGCCCCGTGCATACGTGGGCGCGTATGGGTCTACGTGTATACATGTGTACGTATAACGAAAACTCCAGTTATTTTAAATCGTGTTCCGTGAACCGCGTTCAAGTTCTCATACTTCTCTCGTCGATATTCCTTTCCCGTCGATCTTTATCCATCCAACGAGGAAAACACACCTCGGGCAACGGGAGAATCTCGCTCTGCAGAGATACACGGTTACTCATCTTAAACCCGTTCGTTCTCGCGTCTACCTCTATCGACTATTCGTCTAGCGCGATCGAGCTTAGCGTTGTATGCAACCAAGGAGGCTTGTCCGACTTTTAGTTACGATATCACCGTACACGGTCCACTTACGAGTTATGCTGTAGAATAAAAGTCAAAAATATATTATATGTATATATTCATATATATATATTCGTTTCTGTTGTACCTACTATATTCTAGTGTATCGAGAAGCATGTACGCTCGAGGTTCGTTCACGACGTTATTTAGACACGTTGACGTCTTCGCGACACTCTTCGACTGCGACCAGCCGAAAGTCATTCGAATGTGCGCGCCGCCAACGGTTAGCCTGGTTACATGTTGAACTAGAACTGAATCCCGTCGTACCGTCTTGCGCCTTACAGTTTACAGTTATACGCGTTTAGCTTGAACAAAATTCCCATCGGTCGCTGCGCTCCGTTGCGGATTTATTCGTTTTTTCGTCGGTTAGCGGACAAGCTTGTCCCTGGTGTGGACGGTCTGTTAGTGTATTATTTTCGGTATATCCGTGCTCCCGTTTTCGTATCGCGTTTTTCTGTCTCGTCGTCCCGCTCTTGTATCTCGCGCCCCTTTACTCCCCCGCGAGTCCTTTCAATTCGGTCGACGCTTACCAGGCGCGGGGTAATGGCAACGATGACCAATGCGCGTTCTATCGCGAGCCGTGGACGGGTTATCCGAACAAATCCGATCGGACGTTCGTGTCGGCAATTTCGGATGGGCTCGGTTCAGTCGACGGTAGACAATCCGATTAAACGTACCAAAATATCCAAACATCCGGCCTAGCTTTCGTTCGAATAGCCGATGGCCGCGCTTGCGAAACTCGAAACTCGAAACCGTCTCTCTGCAGAGCGAGCACGAGACCTCTCGAAATTTCGTCCTTTTTGTTCTTTCTATCCTGAACGCTTTCCTTTCTCCGTCTGCGAGGGTTCGCTCACTCTCAACCCTTTCCGTTCGTTCTCTCGGCAGAGTCAAAAATGCATTGCGCGCAAGAAGCTAGGTAGGTATACGCGAGCATATATTTTCGGCCAACCGAACGATGGAACGCACGAGAACGAGAAAAGGATCTACTCGTAAACATTCTCCACTTTGGAAATCTAGCCAAGTAGTCTGCTGCGACTACGTCCAAAGTTGTCGGACCAAAGTACGTTTTAACGTTTTCAAGCGAGAGTTGCGAATGGAAGACTCCAACTGGTATCACTGGTAAGATCGTACTAGACATTTTTGTAAGAATTTTTCAACCGATTACGCGTACTGCCGTATCTTTAACTAAACGTCGATTGTAGTCGCAGCTTCTTGCGATGTTGTATCGAAAATTCGCGTTCCCCTTGCAACGAGTGGATCCTAATCAGGCATCGTAGCCAAGTTTTACTAGCAATTTTTGCGACTAATTTCGAAACAGGTATACCTGCTGCTCTATCTACTGTATCTAATAAGATAAAGCTGTTGTAAATGTCCATGCATAGCTTGAACTTGGTTAGGATAGAATTCACGTTAACTACCGTATGATCTTTCGATCTGTCATCTGTAGCAAAAAGACGAATCGAAATGCAAAGGCAAACGAAAGACGAAGCACAGCTAACGCCAACCCGTCCACTCGAAATCTACATTCTTCGTGCGAACCAGAGACGTTCGTTGGCCACGCGAAGCAGCATTATTCTTTTTCTCTTTGAAGCGATAGCATATATAAATCGTCGTATGAACCCATTGTCGCCGAACGAGACAGGTTTCGATTTTCACCTCTCTTCGACGATGTCTCTAGGCACGACGACATGGCGTTCAAGCGACCGAACTCTTTGCTTGATTTACAAATAATTTTTACCGCTTTGTGATTGCTTGCTGCAGCAGCTAAAACCCTTGACTCAAGTTGGGGAAGCTTAAACTCCGGTGGGATTCGTCGCATTATTTTCATCGTGTTTCGTTATCTCTTTCGTTTCATATATTATTATTATTTTTTTTGTTCATGTTTATCTCATCCATATGCGTATACGTATTTATACACACATATATACGTATACGCATATCTTTTTCACATTTTTTTTAGAACGGCTTTCGTTTTAATGTTCGCGACAATGGAGCAGCGTCCGTGGCTGTCACGGTTTTCCTCTCCTCTTTACTCTTTCTCTCCTTCCGTACTGGCGTAATTAACATTATTTAGTTATAATACTTGGTGTGTGTTTAACTAGAACGTTTGGTATCGAAGGGAAAGACGAGTCTCGCCTCGCTACTCGATCTCGTTCGTTCGAAATTCTATTGCGCGACCGAACGCGATTCGCTTTCTCTCTAATTGGAAATTTATTCGTAAACGAGACGTTCTAAGAACTCTTTTCTGTCTTCTACTCTTTCATCGTGTTTCGAGACGCTGGCAAACCATCGTTCTCGGTTACTCCGATCTCGCGAAAACGAAATAAACAGCTTTGCTAAAAGACTGGCAGCAATTGGGACGAATTCGAATATATCACACACTCGCGGTATTTCGTACAATTTTATACGTATATGTAAACGGAACAAATCTTCAGATTCTACGGTACAAAGGAAACACGTTCGAAAAAATACACTCTACGAATAAAATTGCAATTGAAAACGTTTCGTCGTCGTTTTCGCATCGGTGCTATACCGAATCGCTTAAATGGACATTCGTTAATTATTGTACTTACTTTTATACATACACCATATATATAACGTGTGTACCTCTTGTTTTTGTTAAATCTAAACGCTATGTATATGTATGTACATACATGCTAGTTGCGAGCACGAGGAACTCGTCCGTATTCTTCCGTTTCCGTCTACTGTTTTACTTTTTTTTCGGTTTTGTTCATTTTCATAGCTACTGAACGCAGTCGTGCGCCTCTACCTTTCCTGCGAGAAACGATGAAAACGAATGCGTATCGCGTAATTTGATCGAAAAAGAAAAACTACACAATCCCGTATTCGTGACTAAAACAAACACGTGGTACATATTTGTTAGAATTTCGCTAATTTTCGATAGAAAAACGTTCTTCGTGTCACGCTCGCGGATCGACGAACAAATTTCGAATCTACGACGATTTAGATTCTCGATACTTCCATCTTCCGACCAATGCTATCTCGAGTCTAGCCTTATGTACACGAGTAATTTACAATATCGAACATTCGAATCTTTCCCCTCTAATACCAAAAAGACAACCGAGGTATTAATCGATAAACGAAAAAACGGTGTATACATTTCTTTTTTTGTCCATTTCATTTCATTTTGTATGCATCGTCGATATATGTGTGTCACCTTTGATTCTTAAATGCTGTACAGGAACATTTACTTGCTTATTCGTTTAATCACTCGTTTAATATTTTGTTTTTTGTATTTATTCGATATTTCGTAACCGTAGCCTATACTTAGTTTGTCGTTAGAGTACTTCGTTATTACCTATCCGTTTAAATAATTAACGCTATCGTCGGAGTCAATCGATGAAACAATCGGTGTGTCAATTAATATCAATCCGGAACAAACGTCGCGACTTGTCGTTCTCGTTGGCGCGTACGAGAAGCGAGAGAGCGCGCAAAAGACCCTGGCCCATCGCAAATGACTAGCTCAACAAACGCGTCTTCTCGTTTGTTACGGTCGAGCGAGCGAACGAAGAGACTCGCTTTTTATCGGCTTGGTCGGGAAAGTAGATGAAAGCCTTTCCTGGACGGTCGTGGTTCGTTTTATTTTTTCCTTTCTCTTTTATTTATCGAAAAAAAAAGGTATACGACGGTACTAGCAACTACGTATTTTGTTACTCCTAGGTTCGCGGTGTCGATTGCACTGACTACTTTCATCCTTTTGTTACGCTACAGGAAAAAATTATGTATTTGTATATATATATATATATGAAATTAAATACTACGAATACATGGAATACGGTATAGAGAGTAAAATGAATGCATTAGGATAAAAAAAAAAAAAAAAATACAATAAAGACAAAGGAACTCCAAGTATAAAACTGTGAAAACGTACGAAAGACTGGATCGATGGTGGGGTCCTTCGCGCGGCACCAGGAAAGTCGAAATCAAATTAATTCTGTTCCATCGCGACCTAATCAGAAATAGTTTGGAAACGGAAAGTCGCGATCGAAAAAGTAAGAATCAACTTTCGTTGAACTCGTCTCGCGAGTCCCAGTTAATATAAAAATGAGTTCAGCGCGACCTTTCCCCTTTCACCGATCGTTCTCAATGATTTTCGCGCTAACCTACAACTCGCGTTTCTCTCTTCCATACGTCTCTTGCGGTTTCTCCTTTTGCACGCTTTGTTTCTTTTCAAAGATCCTATTACTTTAATTAAATATAATTTCTTATTATACGTGTACATGTACACATATATATTTGTCATATACATTTATCGCAGTGATAATAATTAAATAGCGTTTACGCGCCTAAAGCGTGTAGATTTTCGGCGTTTTCATTCTTGAATGGAGTGAAAAGAAAAAATCGGTTTAATCGAAAATGAAAGAGTCGCCGGAAACCTTGTCGTAAGGCTTTGTTCCCCCCACGGAAGAACTTATTTATACATATATTTATGCACGTGTGAATCGTTTCGTCGTCTGATCCCCGATCGATCCTGGTTTCTCAACTTTTTTGTCGTTCGTTTCTCCTCTCCATCGATTCGATGAATCGACATCCAACCGACGCCGACGCGCGTACGTTCATCGATCAGCCCAAACGTATACGCGTAGATACCCGTAGATATATCGATATAGAAACAAAATATAAATGGAATTTGTTTAGTATATACGAGTATAAAAACTTCGTTATTCGTTATTCGTTATGTTAACATCTTTGTCACCCGGGCTTCCTGTCGAACTCGTCTAGATGGAATTTGCGTCGTTGCGCATTTTACGAATGACAAGTTAATTCAAGTCTTTCGACTCGGACTTGGCTTTTCTTTGCTCTTCTTACTCGTCTGAACAGCGATCGCGCGGAAGAATACAAGACTGTTCGTGTGAACAAGAAGCTAACGGAAGTGCTAAACGAAATCAGTCGTTCCGGATCGTGTACGAGGATTGACGGTAAAAGAACGCGGAATAAAAATTGTAATAAGAGGTCGCAAAACAGAAACGGGGACGCTTATTCCAATGGACAACCGAGCGAGTTTGCGAATGAGAGTATAATACGCGAAAGAAATTTAGCGACTTTTGCCGATTCTTTTGTAGAGTATACTTTAAAACGGAATTATTTCCGTTGTCGAGACGCTTGTTGGCTACGATGTTGTTCTTAGATTATCGGATTTAAGGAAGACTAGAAAAGATCGCGGGAAAAGTTTCGGGATGTGTGAAATAGGAAGCGTCGCGGGAAGGATCGATTTTGCGACCTAGGTTTAAAAATAAGTAATAGTAATAGACTATGGAGACTAAAGTAAGATTCCAGAATATTGGCCGATCAAGGCTCACTGCCCCGTCAGACGAAGAACAAACAACGAAGAACAGTCCGATCTATTTATTCCACGATGCTATCGATGCAGCGTTACTTTGCGTCCACTTAAGAGTTATATGCCCGTGAATTAAACAATAATCAAACTTAACGATAAATAGCTGCATCTACAGGGCTAAATATCATGCGTGAAATCTTCTACCACCAACTACATTTGCACTGCTTTGCGATTGCTTCATTTGGGATCCCATTCCAGCACGTTATGTAACACGATCGACAAACGGATCGTCTATCAACCGAAGAGTGGTGACTCGGATCGGCCAATATTTTGGAATTTCCCTATAATAAAGGTAAATCTCGTCGAGCGAGGAATCCGCTTCCACGAAGGACTCCGCGGAGTTTTCTTTCCTGTTCTTGACGCAACGGAAAAAGGAAGAAAAAGTGGAACCGAAATCCCTACGATCCTCTTTTCCTGGTAGCGCAACAGTGTTTTCGCGTCTTTTGTCCGATGTACCTTTTTCTTCCTCATTTTTTTTTAAATCTGCGCTTTGTTTTTTTTTCTCCTGTTTCATTCATCATTCCTCCGCGGCTCGATGAAAACGTACGGTATCAGAGGAGATTCGCAGAGGAGGATGAAATAGAATCGAGTCGGTTCTTTCGACAACGACAACGACAACGACAACGACAACGACAATGCAACGACAACGACAACGACAACGACGAGAACAATGATCCGCCGTTTTATCTTTCCGTCGATCTTGCTCGATGATAAGGTCTGATCGTGATCCGACGAAACGCGCATTCGAGAAGCTCTTGTTCGTTTGTTCGTTCGTTCGTTTGTTCGCGTAGCTCTTTCTTTCGCGCTCTCTCGATTTCTGTGGCTTTCTCTCCGCTCGCCTTGTCGTGATTCGTGATATCCGCTAAACGAGAAGGAGTAATTAGGGCGTCCCAGGTGATGTGATCGCCATCAGGGGCGCTGGCGGCAACGCGACCGGTATGTGATAATATTTACACTGGGGTCGCATGCACGCGCCCTTCACTGCGTCCCTGCACACGGTTACGCGATTCTCGATCACCTCCACGTTTCCTGAAACATCCAGAACGGACATCGATTAGACACACGTGATCGTCAGGCCCTATCCCAGAAATCATTGGGCCAGTTGATCCGTTTCGACCAAATCTTACGCGCAAAATAAATACTTGTGAAATTTTTAACATGGCTTATGTATTGGATCTTGCCTTAGACGTGACACCGATAATCAGACGATACCATAATCGTAGCCATCCGTGAGGTTGCCAATCGAAACGTCTACCCATTCGTCCATGTGATCACTTGTGCTCCATAGAGAATAGTTTGGTCGTGGTGGAATTTCAATAGCTGAATCACCGGAGAGACCGCGATTCAACCAAGTTCTTACGCTTCGCGAGATTATCTTGGAAATCTGTGTTTGTTTTGCGTCTCGAATCTTGCAGAAATTCCTTTACGACATCGTTGAAAATTAACGAGTTGACCGACTAACGAGGGAACTTGGTTGGAATTGAGAATGACTCGGACAGCCGACTAATGAAACTTAAACGCTGACTTTAACTCGACCGGCTATCGAGTGAACCAAGTTTCAGGAAGCGTTACGTTCGAAAATTTTAATAAGCTCGGTCTTTCTCGCGACGAGAAATCTCTCGCTGAGCGAGCGATTTTTTTTAAACGATTATCGACTCGTTTCGATTCGAACTTGAACTTACTGAAATCATATTTATCATATTGTATAACTCGCTATATTCGGTATATAATAGTTCACTGACTTTCATTTACGCGATAACGAGTCGAGAAACAGTCAATAATCCTTTTAATTGGTCTACTGCTACAATAACGTATAATTTGGGTGAAATTGCGCGCAGTTGGACACACCGGTGTGACCACTAGATTTGTTACTTGCCATATATTCCAAACAGAGGATTGTTTTGCGGTAAATGGATGGTTGCGAACTGCGGAACAGCTGCTAAGTACAAATGTTGTTTCACCGAACATTGAGTTCGATGGCTAAGAGGGACGCTAGCGTAGACGAACGAAACAAACGACTAACTTAACGTTAGGACATGTAACAACAATGCGTCCAAGGCAAGGTTCGATGGATCAGCTGCTCCAACGAGTTGATCGCACAATTCGGATAAATAATTGTACAAATTAAAAACACAATTTGTTTCGAGTTTGATGTATTCCGATGTACTCAGGGTGACGTCAGGTCCCGATAGAAACTTACCGTCACTGAGATGGATAAACTTGCAGGCGGGACGGTTGCACACTTGTCGATTAAAATCTTGGCACACCGGGAGGGTGTCCAGTAACTGAAAGAAAATGTGCCAGGTACTTTTATAACGGATACTTTCCAAGTTGTTGCGAACAATAGTTACAAGAAAAGGAACAAACTCTTACAGTATCACACTCCACGTTCTCAAACACGCACAGATTCGCGACTTTTTCTCTCGCTCGCGCATTCGTTCTTACTTTTACTCTGTCACTTTCAACACAGAGACAAAACGATCTTTTTCTCTCGATGCACACACGCACGCGTACTTGGAAAAATCATCGGTCACGCACATTCAGACTTTCCAGTGTTAGAGCATATTCACGGTACATTACATGCTCTAAAAAAATCGGATCGTAATACGAATATTAATTAATTGCTACTGGTGCGCGAATAATCGATCAGAATTCCACGACCCACGAACCACGACTCTTTTCAACCAACTCTGACAAACGCTTCGGGTCCTCGTGGCGCGTCGATTATTCGCGCAATTCGAATTAAGAGGAAAATTTGCAGTAGAACTTTTCATTTTTAAACTGGGCATTCCCTAATCTCGTAATTTGTAATAATTACCGATTATACGAAAATCGGATCGTTTCATTCGGTTCGCTTAATGCGAGTCGCCGCTTGACGTATCGTCCGAGGCTCGATAGAATTTTCGAATGGCTTTTTTTTTTCGTGAACAAAGGACTCGTTTTCACGTTATACGCGGACAGTTTACGCGTGAGTCTGTGATTATCGTAATCTTTTCATCGTTTTTCTTTTCTGTCTGCATTCCCAACACTTTGTGTGCAAGGAGCGTGCCTTTATAAACGAGGATTGTTTGATTCGCAAATTTCTCGAAGGGACTAAAATGTTCAGCGTAGTTATTGTTATTCTGAGATGTTACAACACTATCGTCTAACAATCTAACGATCTAGATTGGCATTTGCTTAGCTAAAAGTTGCGCTCGATGCCAACGATTAAGGATTACCGGATATCGATCAAGCGAGAGTTTGCTACGTTCACTTTTCCGTTATTGACGTTTCATTTCGTTTCATTTCTTTATACAAGATTTCGTATAATTTGCGAATCAGGTCATCGAAGCCCTCTTCTCAGCGGGCCATTCAGCACAATGACTAGACTGAAATTTTAGTGTTAACAAAAATCGTGGAATACAGGAAAGCAACGATCGCGGGTTGTCTAAGCGTTTCGCTGTATATCACTCTCGACTAGAAAACGGGCTGCTAAACAGTGACTTTACGTAAAACCTAGCTTGCAAAGATGGAGAAACAATAATATTATATATGTAACTCGTGTGCATGTATATATATAATATGGTCGCGGGTGAAACATACGTACAACGTAAAGACGGATCTTTCACTTGAATTCGATATTCCTCGCAGCGAGTTTTACGAATAGTCCGGTCATTTTAGAGTCTGGAGTTTAACGGAAAATACGGGGACATCGCGAAAATATCGAGCCGATCGTTTCCATACAATTCTATTCTATTATCTTTTTACAAATAACGTAAAAAGATAACCGATTTTCTACGCGATTTCCAACGATCGAGTAAATATGTATGTACATGTATCGTTGGCTCGATAAAAGTATTTTCGCAACGAGATCTAAAATGACTGGAATAGAACGACGAACGCGCGCGAGATCCACGAAACGAGGAATTGAGTAAAAGAAATCGAAAAAAATTATGGGAAAAAAGATACACGGAAATGCGAAATATCAGATGTATCGGTCAAAAGGTAAACCCGGAGCGAAATGTACTCGAGCGAAGCGAAAAATTCCACCGCAGCTACGCTACTTGTCCGTTCCTTTGATTCCACCCCGAGCGAAACATGTATGCATATTATATGTACACACACACACACAGAAACACACACGTACACTCGTATCTAGGAAAATTATTTATATATATCCGAAATATGATAGACAAATGCAGCAAGTAGATTAAACATCAAAATTTCCAGTGTACTGGTTTCGTGTTAGCCAAAAAACGTTAGGTCAAAGAAGCGTTAACAACCTACCAGATAGAATATTAAATTAAACGAAAAAATATGTATACGTATAGAGAAAATACGCAAGAATATGTAATACGATGATAATAACAGAGAACCGAATGTATCGTCTGGCAAAAAGTATACCATAGGCTCACCATAGAAGCGTGCAAAATATATGTTATATATATGTGCGTGTAATCGAAAACAAAAACAAAAAAAAAAAAAAAAAGTACGATAATAAAACGGATAACTGAAACGGTAATTCGATTGAAATTATTTTCTTTCCGTCAAGCAATTAACGCGCCAAGTTCCTCGTGTTACGGCGCCAACGTATTAAAAACAGCAACAAATCGATAAGTATACGCACAAAACCGATAACGAGAAAAGTAACAATGATTACGAAAGATAAATAGGAGCGAGAATAATCGTGATAATAAGTAAATAATTCTTGCAACTGCATATAAAAGATAATTCGCTATAAACACAGAGTCTGGTCATGCAAATAATGGCCCGGGAGAAGGGGGTTGGTTTTCTGCTTGGGTGATCATACAGATTACGAAGATCGTGTCCGATACATCGACGATCGCTAATTGAAACGAAACGATAGACAGGCTGTCCACCGTAACGTGACCGCGATTTTTCAACCACTCGTGGAAATCGTTACGACAAGCATCTTGCAGATCCAAGGATCCGTAGCTCGATCGTTTCGTGGAGAAGAATCGTCGGGATGACAAACGGATCGTCTTTCCTCATCACCCAAGCAATTCGTGTTGTGCCAAAAGCCGACTTGAAAGGACCGCCGGGGGTTTTGGTTCGCGTGCGTGAATAACAAGACTTTGAAACACACACATTCACTCGCTACTAAAGCTACGGGAAAAAGAAGATAGATGTAGAGATATATTCGGGGTTTGGGGCAAGAGGGCCAGAGTGTGGGCGGGCGAGGGGGGGTGGGGGGTTGTTGTTGTTGTTGTTGTTGTTGGGGGACAGTGATTCACGCCAGCGAACCAAACTGCCGTAGGTGGTTGGACAAAGTCAGCGGTTATTTGGCATTCGTATAATGTGGATGTGGGATATGTCGTAAAGCTGTCAAATTAATAATATTCTACTGCAAATAAGTTCAACACTATGTCAACTGCGACTCCGCAACCATAACAAACAGAGCTGATTATGCTCGCAAGAAAAAACATACTAGACTATACGACTCGAAGAGAGAGATCGTGGATTTGGAATCGGAATCGGAACCGGAATCGTGATCGTGACACGCGAGGGCGCGCGCGGGAAAGCTTTGTCAATAAGTTCCAAGCGATTGTTTTTTGTTGTTGTTGTTGTTGTTGTTGTTGTTATTATTATTATCGATAGGGCACGTTAAAATAGAGATACCCGCCGGGCGCGTTGATAATTTGATAATAATATCGTTCTCTTTTAGCTTTCTTTACCGGTTATATATGCGTCAGAAGCTCTCTATGCAAGCGACAGGAGGTTCCGTGTTCATTGGCGATAGCGATAAATAATAATGATCTCGAGCGAGCCCAGAGAGCGAGAAAAAAAAGTGTTGCACGTCACGTGAGGGACAAGGCTTGAGGCTTAAAGGTTTGCAGAGGCTCTTGTCTCTTAGAGAATCACGCCATTGTCGTTA